CATTCGACTAGGATTCGAAGAGGACGTTGACGAGCGTGATGTGACTACAACTCGTCGTCGATTGTCACCAACAAATGTATTGTTTCTACCAGGATTTATCCTACGAGCGATGTAGTCGAAAGTGCCTCACTGGCAGATATCATTTCAGACTGGATAGTATTGAGCACATGGTATGTGGTAGAGAATCGCAACAACAATGTGCTGGGCATAGATTGCGCTGAGACGCTGGTCTCTCTGTATCGTTCTCTCAGGATGGTGTGCAGTATGGTCGATACACTAGGTGATATCACGGTCGATTTCAGGTGATGCCGTATGTCAATGTGTTGAATGTTCTGAGTGGAGTGTTTCAGGTGTGCTGATGGTCGAGTCGGTCGTGTGTAAGCGGCACATTGGGGCTTGTGGTGGAGTGGACCATCGTTGCTCATTACAATTGTCTGAGAGTATGACGAGCGTGACTGCAAGAAGCCGGTGTAGTGTGAAGCGAACCTGTGTTGGTGCACTTTGTGTTGAGTGCTCGTGACTGGTCGGTGACTCTACTGGATTGTGGTGACAGATGCTGTGTGTCTTGACCTGGTGTTGGTGAACCTGTTGGTTGACAGGTTGATTGGAGAATTCGTGGTTGTGTGACTTGTAGTCTGTCAGTGGGAGTGAACAGTCAAATGATTGTTTAGTTGTGTTGCTGGTAGCTGTGTTTGTTGATGGATTGTGTGTTGTGTGTTGTGTGTTGTGTGTGTGAGTGTGAGTGTGAGTGTGAGTGTACGCGAGAGTGTGGACTTTGTGGATATGCATGTGAGTATGTGTTCGACTAGTCGAGGAGACGTTGTTGTACTTGTTGTGTGGAGTTGTGCGAGTTGATGCTAGAGGGCGTGCGAATCGTCGTTTCCGTGGTGTAGTGGTCATCACGTCTGTCTAACACACAGAAGGTCCCCAGTTCGAGCCTGGGCGGAAACATGCTTTTAAAAACTACAAACAACTCTCAGAAACATACCGACATTGTGACAACATACATCAACCACACCATACGTACTCTCGCTTTGTCAATGTGTATGTACATCGACACAGCTGCTCCGTGACCAATGCATGACAATCAGAAAACCCACCGTCATCCAACAACCCATCTTCAGAGTACACACTAACGCAATGTCACACACACATGTGAGCGTGCATGTTCACGTGTACGAAAGCGCACCCACACTGGGGTATATTTATTGAGTGATCACCGGACAGTCACACACCGGACACACACACCCACGCATACACCCAGTATAAACACACGCATTTACACAAACACACATGCATTCGCTGAACACTCGTCATTATCTCATGTCAGATGTCTGTCAATGTCTGCGGCTTGTCAACAATTCTCACGACGATTTTGTGACTGCGACGTGAATCATTGTTTGTTGATCGGTTCCAGTGTTCATTCGTATTGCGAGTGTCGACCATCCAGATATGGTGACATGCACATGAGGATGCTTCTCGAGATCCCGACTGATCGATATCAACACCGATTCACAACGGATCAAGTCAAGTGACACTGTCTACACTTCAATAATTTTCAGGACAATGCTATCTCAATGCGAGTACTCTGTGACCATCATGTTGTCCATTCGACTAGGATTCGAAGAGGACGTTGACGAGCGTGATGTGACTACAACTCGTCGTCGATTGTCACCAACAAATGTATTGTTTCTACCAGGATTTATCCTACGAGCGATGTAGTCGAATGTGCCTCACTGGCAGATATCATTTCAGACTGGATAGTATTGAGCACATGGTATGTGGTAGAGAATCGCAACAACAATGTGCTGGGCATAGATTGCGCTGAGACGCTGGTCTCTCTGTATCGTTCTCTCAGGATGGTGTGCAGTATGGTCGATACACTAGGTGATATCACGGTCGATTTCAGGTGATGCCGTATGTCAATGTGTTGAATGTTCTGAGTGGAGTGTTTCAGGTGTGCTGATGGTCGAGTCGGTCGTGTGTAAGCGGCACATTGGGGCTTGTGGTGGAGTGGACCATCGTTGCTCATTACAATTGTCTGAGAGTATGACGAGCGTGACTGCAAGAAGCCGGTGTAGTGTGAAGCGAACCTGTGTTGGTGCACTTTGTGTTGAGTGCTCGTGACTGGTCGGTGACTCTACTGGATTGTGGTGACAGATGCTGTGTGTCTTGACCTGGTGTTGGTGAACCTGTTGGTTGACAGGTTGATTGGAGAATTCGTGGTTGTGTGACTTGTAGTCTGTCAGTGGGAGTGAACAGTCAAATGATTGTTTAGTTGTGTTGCTGGTAGCTGTGTTTGTTGATGGATTGTGTGTTGTGTGTTGTGTGTTGTGTGTGTGAGTGTGAGTGTGAGTGTGAGTGTACGCGAGAGTGTGGACTTTGTGGATATGCATGTGAGTATGTGTTCGACTAGTCGAGGAGACGTTGTTGTACTTGTTGTGTGGAGTTGTGCGAGTTGATGCTAGAGGGCGTGCGAATCGTCGTTTCCGTGGTGTAGTGGTCATCACGTCTGTCTAACACACATAATTTTACTTTGTTTCTCTTTACGTGAATATTCTTCCTTTTTGTTTTATTTTATTTTACACATTGTGTAATTTTCTTTAATTTTACTCTATTATTATTTTTTATGAATTTTTTTCTTTTGTTGTTGTCGGATTTCATTAAATATATGTAGAAATAATGAACTTTTTTTATGTGTATAAGAATAATTCTATCGGAGAGAAATTTTTTCTATTATTTACTAATTTATTTGTTTAATTCGTGGGTAAATATATGCTATACTACTTTTGTAAACCTGAAAGTAGTGGGCGGACTTTTCATCGTTGTATGAAACCTCTCAGCATTGTGCATCTTATAATAGAACGATACATCTATCCAATTCTTCCAGGTTTTCCGTTTTGGTCTAGCTTCAATTGACTCATGAATTTATTTACTAAACTATGCTTATCATTTGTAAAAACTTATTATTAAGATGTATTAGAACTATCCTTCGTACATTTTCAATCTCTTTACCTCTTTCTCACTCTATACTGAAATCGTTATCAGTTTAGATCACTTTATTTCTATCGTAGTTTCTACAAGCTGTTAACTACATACGAACGTTTACAGTTCAGCTGTTACTAAAACTCGTTTTCACTTATAGTCCCTTCTAACGCATCAAAAGTCTTCTGTTTAGGATAATTTAGAAAATTTTTTTCAACAAGTTTTATTGGGTCGAAATCTTTAATAAGAAAGTACCTAAAAGAAAATTATTTTCAAGAGATGTCGGATACGCTTATGAAATATTTATCGTTGAATTTGTCACAATTTCATTACTATTGTGGTGTGTGCTACTTGTTTCGACAAAAGTAGTATGTAACACAATCCAGGTATAGAATATCTGGCAACAGAATGTTGAGAAGATGGAAGAATGACAAACAGGAACAGAAAGTAATTGGTATGAAAATGAAGAAACAATGAAATCTGAGACAATTAATGAACATTTTGCAAATTACAGTTCTACTGTATGGGGCGGAACCTTGATGAACTACAAAAGGCATTATCAGGAGGCCCAAGTGTTTATTCACAGTTGACTGTGCAACGTTGACCAGACATTATCAGCAACAACCTACAGTGTGAGAAAAGAAACCAGATCCCAGCGGAGGAAGAAATCAAGAAGAATCACTGGAAGTGGATAGACCACACATTGAGGAAAGCACCGAACTGCGTCACAAGACAAGCCCACACATTGAATCTTCAAGGCCAAAGGAGGAGAGGAAGACTGAAGAACACATAACGCCTAGAAGTGGAGACAGACATGAGAATAATGAACAACAATTAGATAGAACTAGAAAGGAAGGTCCAGGACAGAGTGGTTTGGAGAATGCTGGTAGGTGGTCTATGCTCCATTGGGTGTAACAGGCATAAGTAAGTAAGTATTGGAGTATGATTTTTCTATTTTATCAAGTAACTTTGTAATTTTGTGCAAAATATAATTGGTTATCCTAACCTGCGTTCTTCTTCACTACACTATTAATTAGAGATAATTTAAATATTTAATCACAGGAAATTTTACTCAACTATACATCAATATGAATTTATAGTAGTAAACAACATATACATTTACAAGTCATTCAGGTTAATTATAACCAGCTTAACCCTGTTTGACATACTGTTTTTAATTGATGACTTCTTTCAGATTTCTTACAACTATAATGATATTAATCAGAGGATATTCTATTTCAATTATAATAGCCCTAAGTTATAGAGATTATTTTATGTTTAATTTATTGATTTATCTTGATCCATTTAAATCAGTTACTAATCCAAAACGAAACATTTACCATATTTTGTTATACTATCACCATCACCATGGTACTATTTTATTTTATTAGAATGAGGTTTTTATAGAGATTATTGTCATTTTAATAATTGAATTCATAAGTTGATATAAGTTAAACTACTATAGAAAACCTGAAAGTAATGGATAGCTGTATCGTCCTAGTATGCAACTCTTCAGCAATTCATGTTCAAAATCTTACACATGAGAATGACTCATGAATTCAACTATTAAAATATGATATTTTTATAATCAGAGAAGAGTTTTTATGAATATTATAGTAATTTCAATAGTTGAGATCATGAGTCAATTAAAGCTAGACAACCATGGAAAACCTGGAAGAACTGGACAGCCATTACGTTCTATTGTGGGACTCTTCAACAGTGCGTATCTACGACCTTGTCCCCTGTGAGGTTCGAACCCAGGACTTATAGGTCCCGCACACGAGCGCTTAATCACTAGACCACTGAGATGGCTGTCATTCAATGGTGTTAATGTCTAACTTTAACCAATTCACGAAATTGGGCGACACATTTACCAATGTCTTCAATGAGTTACTATCTCACAACAGGTTTTCCATTTTTATCAAAAGTTTTCTATTTATCTCTATCATCAAAATATTTTCTTTGAATAAGATTGAATTACTCATAAGTAATTCATATTTGTTTGTACTTTATATTTTCTAGTTGTTAACAACATTTTTTGGTTGGTTATTAATTAAGTTGTGTGTGATATATAAACATACTAAACACTTAGATTGATAAACAGACATAATATATATGTATTGTTTTTTATACTTGATTTATTCAATAACACAAATACTGAATGATTTAATGATATCATTATTCATATATCCGCTAATATATTAGACATGAAACATGAATACGGAAATGGTATTGAACTAAGTCATACCGATTATCGATCATATCGGTAAGTAATATGTTTAATTATACATTAATTTACCATTTGAATATACAATTGTTTTGTTTTTCTTTTTCTTTCAACTTTTATATGTTATTATAAGAAAAAATAAATGAAATAATTGTTTACTTTAAAATGAATGATGATAATTCTTTAGAAGAAAGATTTCAAAGAGATTGATCCCATGTACGGGATTATCAATGAACAGTGCTGAGGAGTCCCATACTAGGACGAAACATTCATTTAGTGCTTCCGGGTTTTCCATGAATTTAACCATTATAACTATTCATTATCAAATTGATGTCTATTTAAGTTAGAGAGATTATGGAAATGTTTCATTTATAAAAAAGAATTAATGGATTAATAAGAAATTCAAACAAAACAAAACTGTTTGAATAAGTTAGTATATGCATTTTGTTAGGTTTTGTTAACACCTTTTCATTACTGATTAACATTTAATTGAGAATAACATTGAAAACTAAGGAACACTTCATTAAACAAAAGAATAGATTATTAAATTCTAACTTTTTAAGTTCAGAATTGAATGCTCTTTCTTTAGAGCAACCATGCAACCGTGCGCGTATACACTATTGTAAAGTTGAAAACTTTAGTTAATTTGTTTATTCAACATTAATATTAGATTGAACGTAGGATTACTCTTAAAAAAAAAGATCAAGTAGGATAGCTAAAACATTGTGGTATTACTGAAAGTTAAATACTATTGTAGTGAATGAGAACACAAGTGGGGATAATCGAGTGAAGTTGAACACGAGATTACAAAACATCTTACTCAAATCTGAGAACCATATAGTAAATACTTAATTTGCAAAATGTCAATCAATTGTCTCAAATTTGATTATTCTTTATACACATGTCAATCAATCGTCTCAGACTTCATTTTTCCTTCATTTTTACAGCAATAATTTACTGTTCTCGTTTCTTTGATTTTCTTAACTTTATGCCTCCAGGCATTTCACTTTTGATTGACCATACATACTACTTATATCTGTCAGTAGCATCAGTAGCATACACTCACACACACACACCATACTACAACATTTTGTTGACCTTGATCAGAGTAAGTATCTTCTCAGGATTACATTTATTTACTTCTTTAGATTTTCTACTAATATGAAATTAAAATGATAGGCTTTACACCCATTGTAGAATACCTCATAAGGTATCGTTAGTTAGACCATATTTAACAAATACAAATTTATAATTCACTCAACAATTGAAATGACTTTAAACAAAAATTGTACTTTAATCTTTATAATTTCAGTTTTAAACTCTGTTAATTTAGTTTAGTTCAAGGACTTTCATTTTCTTATTGATGATATTCAAGTAATGCAAGTGATAATTTGATAGTCTAGTCTATAGAAATCTGAATTCAACTTTTATATCAACATTGGAATAAGTACATTCAATTATCAAGTCTATAATAAGATGAAAAGTCCTAGATCATCTTGAAATATAATCAATAAGTTGTGTTGAAGCTAGATCATCATCATGGAAAACGTGAAAGCGGTGGATGACCGTTTCGTCCTATTGTGTGACTTCTCATCAGTGTACATCTACGACCTCGCCTCTCAAGATTTAAACCCACAACTTATTGGTGTCATGATCTTGGATGGACACTGTTGAGGAGTCTCACAGTAGGACGAAACGACCTTCCAGTGCTTCCAGGTTTTCTATGGAGATCTATCTTCAGTTGACTCATGATCTCAAGGATTGAAATCATTATGATAACCACACACAAACAAAATTTCCTTCTGATACTAATTAGTTGTATGTTGAATCAGTTTACATCGTGTCAATGATAATACATCATTTTATTTAATCATTATTATAAGTGCTTACACTTAACACAAATTGACTAATATTGATTGAAAAGAACGTAACTTCTTAGTCACATGTATCATTATAAGTACACAGAATATTGAACCAAATTTAATAATTAAACTAAAAGAATAAACATTATTTGAATTAAAGATAAATATGAAAATATTGTATGTTTGATCGTCTTATTGTTGAAGTTATTGTGTTGTTACTATTTAATTGATAAATAAAATGAATAGTCTATTATGATATTTTAAATTATGACCAATTGTACTCAGACTATCTTATTCAAGATTTAGTAGATCGACTAAGGGTGATGGAATAATGTATATTGTTAATTTCGTGTGCTTGGTTGAAAGAAAGTTGTATACTATATGTATACACTCTACACTATTTTAATGTTCCTGTTTCAAATAGTTGATACAGCCGATGTGACTCAGTATGTTTTGTCATTGATCGTTTGATTGACTTGTTTGCATCTAGATTTATGTAGGACTGTGTGTAAACTGTTTCAGTATTATTTGTCCTAAGGCACCTCTGATAAACATAATAAGCTCTGAGCAAACATTGTACGTATGTAACCTGGTTGTCCTTAGTGAAGATCAAACGTTTCCTAACGTTCAATAATATTAGAATTTTGACAGTTTACTTCTGATAGTGTGGTTGCTTAGATGTCTTCATTATATTGAAATAATTCATATACACTGTAGTCATTTGTTAAGTGGTTTGAATGTATCATTATTAATCACTTAGATGTTACTCATTGGACCATTAAATTAAAAAAAAATATAGTCCCCTGTCTTTCAATGAGTGTCAGTTGTGCTAGTTAGAATTTTGAAAATCTATCATGCCTAACTTCATAAAAAAACTATTTTTGTCTGAAAAGTAAGGTTAGTGAAAAAAATTTGCACAACTATAATCTATTTTATTTTATACAACGTTCGGTTTTACCAAGCCGTTATCCTTCTACTTTGTTTCATTGTGGATTATTCATCTTAACCCCCCCCCCAACACCACCACCACCCACATAAACAGATTCATCTTTCTTTTCAAACCCTCTCTGATTGTAAATTATTTAAATTTTAATAGTTTACCCCATCGTATTATGTAACACTTTTTTTACAGTTAGTAATCTTTATTTAATGTCTACGATAATCTTGACAATTATTTTCGTTTAAACTCTGTTGAATAGTTTCATAGTATTTGGGTGTTGAGTTGATGTAAGACATTAAAGAGGAAGAATGTAGTCACGGAGATTTCGTAACTACATTCTTCCTCTTTAATGAATCAAATTGTCAGTTTTCTTTAAAAATGGATAATATTGTTCTGTGATTTGTTTGTGAGCTCAACAACGTGTTATTATTATTTACAAACATATTATCAACATAGAAGGTTTGTGGAGACTGTAGTATTTTCATATTTGAAATCACACACTGATTTTAGCTGGACTACTATTGAGAACCTGGAAGAACTGGATAGCCGTTTCATCTTAGTGTGGGACTCATCAGAAGCATACATCTGCCACACGTAGGAAAATTAGTCTCGTGTGTGAGCGCCTAAACTCCGGACTAATCAGCCGGAATCCAATTGTGTTAATGTTTAACTTCCATCGATCCATTATCTTGCGCAATCCTTCGTTGATTGCCAGTAGTAAATATTTTTCTTATACCTGAAGGTCCTGGAATCAATTTAAGCGTGTGGAGTCATAGATGCACAATGCTGAAGAGCCCTATACTAGGACCAGACGACCATCAAGTACCTGTACATTTTCATTGGTGTTAAAACTAAGATCAATTCATGAGTTCGACTGTGAAAACATATTATTATTGTGGATAAGAGTGTATATTTACGATTGTGCAATTTTTAAAATGGATTCATTTGAGATAGAACTCTTAACTGAACTAATTCTATCCTATTTTCATGTTCTGTAAAGGTTATCAATATTTTTCTATGGAGATAACAATAATTTGTATGGTTTATTTCACGTTGATTACATAACAAAGAATCTCTGCTATTCCACTACTAAATAAATTGGAGATACACAATATTAAAAAGTGATTAGGGGGAATTTCTTTATAACCAGTAACTCGGATTACTTTATATTTGTTTCCTACCAACTTACATTTAGTGTAGATATAGTTCACTTACTTACACATGTTACCCATCGTGACGACCAGAAATCTGTTCTGGACATTTCTTCCCAGTTATTCCCAAGTGCTATTCATTCTTTTGACGTCTGCTTCCAATCCCCGATTCAATCTGGTCTTTAGCCCTTCTCTTTTCCATTTCCCTTTAGGATTCCAAATTAGTGCTTGCTTCGTAATGCAGTTTGGTGAAGGACCATAGACCGCCCACCAGCATTCTCCATCCAACTCTGTCCTGAACAATCCTTCCCATTTATTCTCAAGTGTTATTAATTCTTTTGATATCTGCTTCCAATTCCTGATTTAATCTGTTGTTGGGTCTTTCACTTTTCTTTTACCGTGTCTATTCCAAATTAGGGCTTACTTTGTGATAAAGCTTGATGATTTCGGAAATGTATCTTATCCATCTCCAGTGTCTTTCCCTAATTTCCTATTCAGATGAAATCTAGTTTGTTATCTTCCACAGTAAGCATTTGCTGATGGTATTCGGACAACGGTGATTGAGTACCTCGCATAAACAACTGTTTATAAATAATTGTACCTTTTTAATGATGGTTGTAATAGTTGTCTAAGTTTCAGCTCTGTACAGTGGAACTGTCTTGATGTTCATATTGAAGATTCTCACTCTAATATCTGTTGAAAAATTATTTTGTATATTAATTGTGTAATAAAGACCAAAACTATTTATATAAATTATTCTGTTTTGTATTTTTTTTATACTTTACATTTTCACAGACATTTCGAGTTACAAAATGGTATGAAAGTAATGATTATTTCTACTTGCAATGACATTGAGGATAATCATTTTATATCAGATACTTTGGTAAGTTTTGTATGTATTATATTCACTGATAGAGTTTTATTCTCTGAACTGGATGGTTCTGGTCCATCAAAAACATCCACCTGAGTTACAAATCTTCTCCATTATATTCACTGGTTAGATTTAATCATAATGAATAATGCACTTGATATTGTTTTACTTGAATCTTCCCATTGATGTTTAGGACTGCACTTGATCAGTCTCTTATTGGCATATGTGCATACTGTGCGTATTGCCTCGATATTGCCTTAATTTACAAGCATTATAAGCAAAGATGGATAGTGGTTAGCAGTGGAATCCAGGACGCGCGTTTCGTCCTATTTGGGACTCGTCAGCTGGATGTACCTGCATCTCAGGACGAAACACGCGTCCTGGATTCCACTGCTAGCCACTATCCATCTTTGCTTATAATGAATAATGGTTGATCAACTATAATAGAATAGAAAAGCTAAGATTGCATAGGAAAATTCAATTCCTGAAAGTCGAGTGAATATTGATACAAGTCATGAGTATATATATATATAATGCATGATTGATTCACTTGGTGAAATTAAACCCTCCTAGTTTTACATTTCCCATCTTCCAGATGTCTTTAAAACAAATTATGATCTATCTTACTTTATAACAGAATATCTTTTGTGCTGGATTGATCAGTATATTAATTTGATTTCTTAAAAAAACCATTTCTATCATTTAGATTTTACATTGATCAGTTAATTTGACTAAGATAATAAAACAGGTTGATTAGAATTATTCCCAGTAATAAATCAGTGTTTCATATAGTTGATTTGAAACACTGAGAAGGCTCTTTTCTAAATATATTCACATATAAGTAAGGTACAATATGACTGTGTATATAGGCGGGTTCAACGAATCATTCATCTGAAAAAAACCATAAACAAAGATTAGGTTACTTCTTGAAGATTATTTTACATTTTAAAATGGGAATGATTTGATTGAACTACCGGTGAATCTCTCTCTCTCTTCAAGAGTCTTTTTACCATCAAAACTTCCATTAATACTTGATGATCATACCTCAGAATCATGTTTGTCATTCAAGTCTTTTTTTCTAGATAAATTACTTTGAAAAAACATCACAGTGAGACTATAATTTATGGACGAGATTTGAGCTAATCTAGACTGACTTTGAGAGTGTCAACCTAATATTTATGACCAAATGAGGGTTATAAATATGTGTGGGGAATTAGAATTATGTTCTACAGTTGATGAATAACGTTAGGAATTAGATTTCAGGTTTTCATCACAAACTGATATCCGCTATAATGCAAAAACTCTATTTAAGCAAATTGGATGAGTAAATTTCGCGCCAATATCCAAGGCTTATTATCTTATACCTTATTGGTTCATCCATAAATTATAGTCTCGCCAACATCACTCTGAAAAACCTTTCTAATTCTGATTAACACATAAAACATCTCAGGATTGTCATCTGCTCATTAGATCAATTAATGGACAAATGAACGTAGGGAAAAATAAATTAATCCCATTATTTTTGACCAAGTTTAATATTGGTAGAACTAAATAAATTTTTATTGGGTTTCGTAAAAAGTAGTAAATGTTAGTGAGCTCATGAACTGACAATAGTTAAGAATCCGGAAGTAATGGGAAGCTGTTTCATTCTAGTATGGAGCTCCTCAGCAGTGTTCATCGACGATCCTAAAGCAGACCAAATCGAGGACACTAAGACTCTCATACAAGCACATAACCTTCACATAACTGAGTTGGTTATGCAATATGGCAAATTGATTAAAGTGAAAAATGTGAGTAATTAGGTTCCAATCCAGTGGTCTAAAAAACAAGTGCAAGTCACAAAAATTGATTCTCTTGAATTTAATCCCTGGTTGGATCTTGTATCCATTATTCAGAAGAGTCCTATACTAGTACGAAACAGCTATTCACTGCTTCCAAATGTTCAATAGTTGTCTAATTTAGGCTGATTTGTTACCTTGATAAAAGGGCGGAACTATGAGAGATTCTGAAGTGACTATGGAAATGTCTACCTACTCACTAGAGCTACATGAGGGTTATCAAGCAGTGTGTAGAATAAAGATTATGATTTACAGTAGTTGGTTAGGGTTGGAAATGAGATTTAAAGTTTTCGTCACGAACTGATATCAGCTATAATACCAAAATTCTATTTCTCCAAATGGATGAATGAATTTCGCACCAAAATCCAAGACCTGTTATCTTAAATTTGATTGATTCGTTCATAAATTACAGTGTGGACATTTTGTTCTTTAATTGTTCATAATTTCTGTCATAGTTTACGAGACTGATTTAATCTCGTAAAATAGAAGAACAAATAAAATGAATTGACTGACTGGTCCACTCACATTAAAATTTCTTTAAACGATATCATCCTTCGTCTGTAATAATGATGATAAATTTAGATACAGTTGATTGAAAGCTACATTCTTACAAGATATAGTTGAGTAGGTAGTTGCAAATAACAGTAATTAATAAATTTATCGCTTTTCATTACATAAACCATTGTCGTATATATACATAGGTAGATAGATAAGTAGGTAAATAGATAGGTAGATAGATGGATGAGTGGATAGATTGATTGATGTGTGGATAGATATATAGATAGATAAGTAAGTAGATAGATAGACGTGTGGATAGGTAGATAGATGGATCCCAATATAGTTTTCATGCAGTTTTTATATACCGTTCATGTGGAAAAAAATTGACGATGAGTTAGGTACACAATTAAACTATTCAGCCTCATTTGTCCTGGTACGCTCGAGCGTGATGAGAGTCCACCCCTCTCTCCAAATGCTCTCACATGGCTGCGCGTATACAGCCATTTCCACGGAAGCTCTACTTAATCCTAGGATATTGGTTATGAAACCAAGAGGATGAAAAGTGAATGTTCGGCGCTTTAAACGGTTTGGTAGATATGGAGAATCCACCTAAAGGAGTTGGAAAATCATGGTTCCAAACCATTGGTACACATGAGATCGAAGATCCTGAGGGAACAAATGGCGTATGAACTTATCGTTGGTCACCGGTTACCATGGGATTGAATCTCCTGACGTTGTTCCACCGTCTTGTGGATAAGACCTTCAGGTTAAAGGCTCTGGGTGTGGCCCTCTAAGAAAACCACCTGTTCCGGTCTGGGAACCCAGGCAGTATCACAACCCACACACAAATCAAGTGACTTGTGTGTCGCATATGTATTCGGTGCCCCTTTGTACCAATATTTATGTGTTCAAATTGATAGGTCTTGCAAATTTGAACGCTATACTCGGTTCCTAAGCTATTCTTTGAAACCCCCAAGCTAGAACTATACAGCGACCTGAACACGAGAGAGATGGCGCAAAGTATGAGAAAAGTAATTTACTCCAAGGTTCGTTTTAATACAGAAAACACAGAGCTTTATAATATTCTGAATGTCCTTGGGTTGCTCGAAGATTCTGGAATGTTACTAAACATAGTAGCAGTACAACAACCAGCCAATCAGAACCTCTACATGTGACGTTTCACATCCTTGATGTTTCTGGCTAAAAATTCAAGTGAACGCTGATTGGATGAAATGCTTCTTAGTGTTTCCTGATCCTTGTGTGTCTTTTGCGAGAATTTTTCTAGATCATCCCAACACCAATAAAGTAAATAAATAAACTTCTGTAAAATTGACTATAACGTCAAATAACTTTGAATTCTGATGAAATCTGATTTCCAAATGTAAACACATTCATCAAGTACCATTCAATACTATTACTACTACTACTACTACTACTACTACTACTACTACTACCAATGAAATCAATATTTTATATTCTCAACTATTATAGGATTCCATTATTCTAGTGCTTATTCATTTCATTTGAATATTAAACTTTGCTCTTTCAACTTATCTAATCTAATAATAAAGTTCATGATGGTATACAATGTATAATAATAATATACAGTAATTTTATAGGATAAAGGTATATATTTTGTCTAACCTTATATATATTCTGTAATAAGCTAGTTGTATAAAATTAAAAGATTTTATGAATAAAACTATAATTTATGAATGACCTTTGAGCTACTCTGATGTGACCATGAAAATGTTCATCTACTCACTGGAGCTGAGGATTATAAAAGAGTCTAAGCAATTGGAATTGTGAATTACAGTTAATGGTTAGGGTTAGAAATTGGATTTTGGGTTTTCATCACAAAATGATATCAGCTATAATACCAAAATTCTATTTCAACAAATGGATGAATGATTTTCGCACCAAAATCCAAGACCTATTATCCTAAATTTGATTGGTTCGTCCATAAATTATAGTCGCGCCAAATTATGGAAATGATAATAACCAAACAGTTATTATGTTCTCACTTGATATTGTTTACTAGTATCTTCCAATTGTTATTTGGGACTGCAATTCATCAGTCTCTTGTTGGCGTATGTTCATTCTGTGTGGGTTGCCTCAATATCACTTTAAGTGACAAGCTTTTTAAGCAAAGATGGATGGTGGCTAGCAGTTGAATCTAGGACGCGTGTTTCGTCTTATTTGTGACTCGTCAGTTGAAAGTACCTGTATCTTAGAGTTAGTGTTCACTCTGGGACTCAATCGCAGTCGTAAATAACAATGGGGAGATATTAGTAAACAACACCAAGTTAATATAACTTCACCCCGTTTTACAACCAAGTAGCTAAGTAGATAACGCTATGGCGTTTGAAGCGAATGGTGCTGGGTTCGAGTCTCGGAGTGAACAAAATTCACGTTATAAAGACACTCATAGACTATATCAAGATGTTCATTGATCAACAATCTATCTCCATAAAGATCATTTTGAGCTATTAATTCTAAGTTGAAATACAAGATATTAAAGAAAAGAACACAATTATTATATCATACTGTCAACAACACCATTTCTGTTAATGAACTTCGGTTATAAATCATTATGATACAAAACTAACCGTGATCACATTCCATATTCTCTTAAACACATACTACTTACTTACATATGCTTATTACCCGTTATGGTGGAGCATAGGTCTCTCACCAGTATTCTCCATCCAACTCCAACTATTTCTGTTCTAGGGCTACTAACGATCCCAAGCTAGTGTAAAACACATGGGTTAAGCATAGAATCAGTAAATCTATCCCATAGAAATCAACCTTGCTAAGAAAGAAAAAAAACGTTAACCAAAATAAACAAATGTAAACATATACCATAGATGATCATTGATATTAAAAAAAATCAATATTTATGTCTAGTGTATACTGTCAAATTTCCAGATTAATTTAGTACTTTCTAAATTATCATATCATTATAATGATTCAAAAAAAAAACAACAATATTTCAATCTATCAATGTGTAAGAAACAAATGACACATTACAGAAACAAAATCCAATTCAACTACATATTTTCTTTCTCTTGTGTGTGTGTGTATGTGTGTGTGTGTGTGTGTAAGTGTGTACTTCTACTATTCACCATAGTTTCATAGATGACATATCTCATATAAATCTTGTTTAAATAAATAATAAAAAAAACACATTCAAAAGACGGTGTCTAAAATTTAGAATTTCAATTGTGGTATCATCTAGTTCGTTGGTTACTAAAAATGTGAAAGTAATTGTGTTTTTTTTTAAAGAAAAATGTACAGAATTAATAACAGAATAAATTCACTTGGTATTGTTTGCTTATATCTTCCAATTGTTGTTTAGAATTGTAATTGATCAATCTCTTATTGGCATATGTGTATCTTGTGTGGATTGTCTCGATATCATCTTAAATCATAAGCTTTTTAAGCAAAGATGAATGATGGTTAGTAGTAGAATCTAGGACGTGCGTTTTGTTCTATTTATGACTTGTCAGTTGGATATACCTGTATCCTAGAGTTGATGTTTACTGCGAGGCTCGAACCCAGTATCGTTCGCTTCAAACATTATCGCGTTATACATTAATGACTGATTGTTTGATTTGATCAAGTAAACAATATATTTCTCAAAACGCATTGAACTGTAGTAAAACAATAAACACAAAAAAGATGAATTTTAAATAAGCAAGTTTACTATTCATAATTTAGTATTGCACATAATCACTACTAAGTGATTCATTCAGTTATCAATGATGTAGAACACGGTACATGTGTACATCGGTCCAAGTTGCCACATTGTATCAATATAGGGAAATGAAATTATCAAATGTCACAGTAATAGGATTAGTAACAATATAATTGGTGGTACAAAAGATTAAGTGTAGACAATATAGTTAGGGAAGTTAGAATAAATTTGGAGAATAGCAAATTATGAAATAATTTTAAAACTCAAACTTTGAAAAAAGACATAGTGAATGCATTCGCATTGTAAAGATGGGTTCTGAGCAATATTACTCAACGTATCCGTCAATTGGCTATTAAAAATTAAATGATTTCAACCTAATAGTGTGCACCTATTGATACAGTTCACTACAACAGTCAATGTATTTGTAAATTGATGCTACATTCTGGCTTGACTTACCTTAGCTTTGTTATAACCTACTGGTAAACATCATGGTTCGTGGTAAGCGGTGGTTGGATAAACATGGTAACTAATTATTAGGTCACCACCTAACTCTTACAAAAGATTATTTGCAGACCAGTGAAAAAGTATCCACTTGTAACACTAGACAACATGGTTTAGAGTCACATCAAGAAACCCTATTTCTCCTGAGATTTCGAATATATTTTGCTAATAATTGTTAACTTCCACTGTACCTATGTTTAGAATTTCTAACCTATTGATTCTGATTATGTAATATAAGTTTATGTTAATAGAGGGTGTGTTTGAAAGTCCACAATTCTACCATACATAAACTGATAATACATTGAGAACGACTTGGCAACGTCAACTATATATTAGTTTCTTATATTTAATGGTTAAATCTACATTATATCACTACTTACAAATGAAAAGGAGAATACTCTATTTATCACTTTTTCCTCATCAATTAAACATGTGTGGATAAACAAATGATTCCAAAATTCAATACTACAGAATAAGAAATAAGTAACTGAATTCCAATTTTCTAACTGACTCCCTTGTCATATGCAGTAAATCGTTAGTTATTTATTTACTTAATTTTGTATTGATTAACTAATTTCAAACTAATGTTGATGTTGATTATTAAAACCAAAATAAATGGAGCTTTCATGGATATTCTAGATCTGATTTTTAGTGTCTACTTCATATAGAAGTGAGCTGTCTACTTATTTTGCAACTATTACTTTTTTTCATTCCGATATCTTTGTTTATGATTGATTGTCTTCATTTGTCTTTACATTCATGTTGACTGTCATTGTCGGTGAACTTCTGAGTTTATGATTAATTAATCTCTTCCATATTGGTTCATAGATTGGATCTATCTTGACGTCAAAGTTGATTACCAATTAACTTGAATGCTATGTTCTAGAAATTCTTTAGGATTCTTGGAATTTCACCGATCTTAAATTTAGAACTGTTTCTAGTCATATTCAAGTCCATGGTTATTTGCATGCATTGATAATAGCGATCATTTATCATGTCATTTTACTGTTAAACTATGTTCATTTCTATGTAGTAGAAGTGACAACATTCTTTTTCAATCTAGCATTTATCTCAGTTAGTACAATCTACTCAAATCTTCATAAACTACCTGTTAGATTAATTTTCACATAATTATGTTTGATTATTGAATAACTAGGTTGAATTAAAAGAGATAGAATAGATTATTTTAAGTGTTGTTTATTCCTCTGAATTTAGAGGTGGGGGTTTAATTACTATTCCAGATAAAATTATCATTAGTTACTTTGTGTATAAACGAGATTTTTACTTATTCCATAAAGATTAAATTAGTTCGTTCTGGTATCCTTCCTTGTTTATGACTGATTATCTCTGTAGGTTCTATTTTAGTCATTTGTTCTTGTGTTCAAGTTGTCTGTTGATTGATCGAATTTTTTCTTGACCTGTTGGTTAAGCCTAATTACCGTATGATTCCAGAATTTGTTAAAGTTACATTTATCAATGACAGTTGAAAGTACTGTAATCTACTTTATAAAATTTAAGTTTCATAAAAACTTTAAAATGTATATATTTGACTAAGTATTTATTTATTAAACACATAAATATTGGTACAAGAAGGCACCAAATAGATATGCGCTACATAAGTCATTCGATTCGTGTGAGGGCCGGGATACTTCCCGGTGCCCAAACCGAATTAGGTGGTTTTCTTAGGGGGCTACACCCTGAGTATAAGACCTAAAGGTCTGATCTACAAGGCAGTGGAACAAATTCGAGAGATGCAATCCGATGGTAGCCGGTGACCAACGATAGGTTTATACGCCGTTTGTTCCTTCAGGATCCTGGAGCCCATGTACGCCATTGGTTTGCGGTCAGGGTTTTCCATCTTCCCTACGTAGACTCTCCATGTCCATCAACCTGATTAAAGCGTAGGACATTCACTTTTCGTTCTCTCAATTTCGTAATCAACAGTAATGCCGCGAAGAGGCAGTGAGTAGGATGTCCCTTGCAGTGGTTGTGTGCACGTGGCCATGTGAGAGCGTTTCGAGAGGGAGGGCTGACTCTCCCCATTCTCGGCCGTAGTAGCGCATTCGGTGGCTGATTAAGTATTACGCGCAGATTTTTATGACGATGTACTTATCATATAGTGATTATTCAAAGTTTTCACAAGTTAATAATCATATACTCTTCTAATCACATTTCTAAAATGAAAACTGAAATTAAAAAATTTCATTATTAGTCAAACAATCTCTTTGCCTATTTTAGTCAGCTGCAGCCATCTGCATCAATGTTGGTTCATTTTCCGATCCACATGAAGCTCAAGGTCTTTCTCATCTGTTAGAACATAGTAAGTTTAATATTTCTAGTCATAATCATTACACCGAGTCAGGTTTATCAAATGCTGCCTTAGTTTTGTCATCCTGTAGGTATCACTTAAGAAAAAATTATCGTCAGTAAAATGTACCTGTAATTTTGAGGGAACTGATGCTCCCTGACGGATTCGATCCCGTGTCACCCAGCTTCTCAGTCAGAGACGCAATGTCAAGTCACCTAGACTAGTGGCCACATTGCAACTCGGTCGATAGGATTCGATCTGCACAAAGAAGGACCCGACACACATGACCTTGATCACCATTCAGTGATCAATCATATGTAAAAAAATTATCTTTTGGTTAAATTTTTCATAGAATAGAACGCCGATATTTCAACTATCAAATGGTTGACTTTATCTTGTATTGTACAGCAAAACTTGCGTAGCTGAAAAGTCAGTTACACGAATTTGTATTTGGCTATCAAATAGCATTAAAACTATTCAAGGGTCGAAACTACAAATGCGGTTGCTATGGCATCATATTTTTACGATTTATTTAGCATCCATTCGTTCACATGCCTAACTTCAATCAGTTTGTTACGTTGAAAGACCATCATCCATTATCCTTGCTGATATTTATCTCATATCTGACATAATCAAATCCGATTAATTGTGATTATTCTGTGTCCATATTGAAACATTTGGATGTTTTTTCAGGCTAATCAGTAATGTATAATTTATAATTTTTATTTCAAATTAGAATTATCACAACTAATTCTGAGTCATATATTACATAAGATCAGCTCCTAATAAATTTCGACATAAAGGTTATAATAATAAAAACATTATGGTTAACATAAAATGTTTACGTAGGAAGAAATCTCTAATCATCAATCTCCTCATTAGAAGTTAGGCATTAACACTGTTGGATACCGGCCATCTCAGTAATCTAGTGGTTAAGCATTCACGCGCGAGATTGATAGGTCCTGGGTTCGAATCTTGCAAGGCGGGATCGTGGATGCGCACTGCTGAGGAGTTCTACAATAGGGTAAAACGACCGTCCAGTGCTTCCAGGTTTTCCATGGTGGTCTAGCTTCAATTGACTCATGATCTCAACTATTGAAAAAATATATATAGAGAGAGAGAGAGGAAGGAGGGAGAGGGAAAGAGAAAGAGGGAGGGAGCGAGAATTGGAGTGCGGAAAGTTCATTAAACCCAACAACAAATCATAATTAACCAATCACTAATATTTAAAGAACCATGAGTTGTTACTAAGTCATATTTTATAACTGCTAAAACGTATCTAATTAACTAAGTATTAATTACTTATTTACATTATAATATATAAAGACCACGTGTGATATCATCAAATGACATTGTAATATATATATATATATATATATATATATATATATATATATGCCGAACAATAAAACACCATAAAATTCATAATAATGAAATCAAAAATATGTACTATTTACACGTTATACTTATAATCTATAATAATAATAGTAATAATAACCAGGTAATTGGATTGAAACTATGAATATATACAGGGAAACGTCTTTATTTTTAAATGAATCCAAATTTTCATTTGGTATTGTTTTATTTAAATCTTCCCATTAAGGTTTTAAGACTTCGATTGATACAAGTAAGTGGCTATCAGGACTCAGTAACTGAGTGGATAACGCGATGGCGTGTGAAGCAAATGGTACAGGGTTTGAGTCCCGGAGTGAACATTAACTCCGAGATACGGGTACATCCAGCTGACGAGTCCCAAATAGTGAAGTTAGAAGTATAATAGCAGGATGAGACAACTGCCCAGTACTTCTTGTTTTTAAGTGATTGCTAGACTAAGGTCAATCTGTAATATGAAGCTGAAAACAGAAAGAGGATAAAAGAGTTTTTTAGATGATACAATTAATTTGAAGAAATTGTTCAATCTGACGAAATAGTTTACATCACTAACTGAATTCAGCTAGACAAACATTATAAACCATGAAGTGTTAGATAGCTGAACAGTTTCTAGTATTAGACTTAACAAGAGTGGGATCCACTTCCGCTTTAAGTATTGAAACTAGGACCTTCAATCCTCAGATTGAGGTACTGAAAGGCGACTATGAAATAGCACGAATTGATTCCAGTTAGAAACATGAACTACTGGATACTAATTCAATGCTTTGTACTTGCTATACAAGGCTGCCTACTCTCCCCTTTTCTCTTTCTTCTGGTTGTTGAATGGATTATCATGAACTTCACATCTGATTGGAAGCATGGGATAAAATGGACAGGTTAGATGCAACTATACGGTTTGGACTTCGTAGATAACCTAGCTATTTTATCCCGTACAAACTAACAAAACGCAAGTCAAGACAAACAATTTAGCAGCAGCAGCCTCTGAATCAGTAGGCTTCAAGGGAAAAAGCAAGATCATCAAATACAACATGGACAACACCAACCCAAACACACTTGATGGAGAAACTTTGCAAAAGGTGGAACCTTTCACTTATCTGTGTAACATCATCGATTCAGACGTGAATGCAAGGATTGGCAAAGCAAGGACAGCATTTCTACAGTTGAAGAATATATGAAACTCAGAACAACTATCAACCAATATCAAAATGAGAATCTTCAATACGAACGTCAAGACAGTTCTATTTAACGGAGCTAAAACTTATAGAACTACTACGACGAAAATGAAAAGAGTACAAGTATTTATAAACAATTGTCTACGCAAGATCCGGATATCATAGCCAACAGCCTACTGTGGAAAAGAGCAAATGAGCTTTCATTTGAAGAGGAAAGTGAGGAAAGACGTTGGAAATGGATTGAACACACATTGAGAAAATCATCAAATTGAATCACGAGTCAAGCACTAATTTTGAATCCTGAAGGGAAACAAAAAAGTAAAAGGCTGAAAAACATATTACATTGGGAACTGGAAGCAGACATGAATAGTATGAATATCAACTGGAAAGGATTATCCAAGACAGAGTTAGATGGAAAATGCTGGTGGGCAGCTTATCCTCTTTCACGTGAGCTAACAGTCGTAAGTAAGTAAGTAAGTAAGTAAGTATGTAAGTAAGTAAGTAAGTTGAATATCCTCAGATCAATCTCCGCTAAGACTGTGAATATGCTAGAATACAATATTAATTTCTTATAATTTCTGGTTTAGTTCTTAAAAAATGGAAATTAATTTCACAGTGAGATAAATACTTCATAAAATATTGATTCCAAAAATAGAACGAAACAACCATTCAGTGCTATCATATTTTCCATGGTAATCTAACTGTAATTGACTTATGATCTCAATCATCTATTCATTTATTTGATACTTTGTTTTTTTACTTTGCTTTTTCTTTTATTTTAGTGTTATTTCATAGTGATATAATTAATCATGAAATGAAAACATTTCATAATTATTTACAAGAATATAATGGTTATTGGGATTCTAAAACATCAAATGAACATACACTATTCTACTTTAGTATAACAGAAAAATATTTTAATGAAGCATTATATTTATTTGCTTTACATTTTATTAATCCTACATTAAAATTAGATGGAATGAGAAAATCAATTGAGAAAATTGATATGGGTAAGAAATACTTTGATGAAAGTTTAACAAATATAACAATTTAATTGAGATCATGAACTGATTGATGTCAGGCCAACATTGAAAACCTAGAAGCATTGGACGGCCGTTTCATCCTATTGTGGGACTCCTCAGCAGTGCGCATCCACGATCCCGCTCGCGGAATTCGAACCCAGGGTGTTCAGTTTTGCGCACGAACGCTTAACCTACTGGACCACTGAGCCAACCGGCATCCAACCGTGTTAATGTCTAAGCTCAACCAATCCGCGAAGTTGCGCAACCATCTTCCATTTTACTGAGTTAGACACCTGTTTCTACCCGACACGGATTAGCTCCACTGGTCACGGCTTCTCACCAGAACTCCGAGAATTTTCTCATGAAGCTAGAACGAAACGGCCGTCTAGTGCTTCCAGGTTTTCAGTGGTGGTCTGACATCAATCGATTTATGATCTCAATCAAAAATTAACAATCTCCACAACCCCTATACTGATAAAATATTATAATTATTAGATAATTGAAATATTGTTCAATATAATATTTGTCTAGTGAGAAGCGATGATCAGTGGAGTTTAATCGGGTCTGTTATAAAATAGGAACTCGCTAAAGGCTATGGTGGACAATAACGCAATTTCGCTAGATGTCAACCGATTCAGTTGTTTTATAGGTTAAACGCTCACGTGCGAGATTGATAGGCCATGGGTTCGAACCTCACGAGACGATATCATGGATGCTTACTATTGATAAGTTCCACAATAAGATGAAACGGTTGTTCAGTGCTTCCGGGTTTTCCATGGTGGTCTAGCTTTAATTAACTCATGATCTCAACTATTAAATTACTGTAATATTCACAAAACCCCCTTCTGATAAATATCCATTTGTTTAATAATGTTGAAATTCTAAGTGATATAATATCACGTGGACTATGTTGTGGTAAAAAGTGATTGTAAATAGTCGATAGAAAACTTTAAACTAAAGTTGAATTACCTTGACTAGTAACACAATGGTAACTGAGTTGATAGAATTCAACCAACATTAAAGTACTAGATAAATATGAAATGGTTCAATACACAACGATCAATAAATGTAGACATTTCAGTATAGAGGATTTTAAGAAATAATTTGAGTAGGTCAGTATTAATAATTTGAACTGAGATATTGGAGGATCCTGGTCTTAAATGTAGCAAGTTGAATTAGTTCTTTCAGGATTACATGTACACTTTATTAACAAGTGCAAAATAACATGAAACATATATTCATTGTTTTCTGCCAATTATCTCCAACCACTTGAAAGCGATTCATATTTTTCTTTTTATAAAAAAGTAACTTAACTTACCTTAATGAAGATATTTAGCTATGAAATCATGAATCATAGTTTCTTTATGGTGTATTCCTTGAAAACGTATTTCTGAAGTGATTTTTCAATGTTGATTCTGTAGTGTATATGAGTGTTATCAGTCTAGTTAATGAGATTGTTGAACAATAGGAAATTTTAACAAATCGGATACTTTGTAACTTGTGGCTAACTAACATCAATCTCCAGTTAGTAACACTCAAGAAGTTCATCTCATTTATAATATTAAGATTTATGAACAAATTATCTTGATGGAGCTAAATGATGTTCTTTAGATTTAAATTGATTCTCTGAGTAGCTCTGTTTGATCCTAATGTTTACTGGTGAAGGAGTAAGTTGGAAAAAAGTTGAGGGCAGTCAAACCAAGAGTTGGCTTTAGTACATAAAGTCATTAACTGCTGATTATGACCATGTTGATAAGTTCAGACTACTTGGTTGAGATTATTATTGTTTTCAAGATCAGTGGCTGGAGACATCAGGTGACGTAGCTCAGAGCAATGCATGAAGGCCAAAATACACTCAAGTTTAGTCCGAGTGGTGAAATCGCTTCATCCTTTTCTATTTCATGAATCCATTCTCTGTTTTCGTACAATAATGACTCAGCTTAAACTTTGTACCAGAACTGATACTGTTACTACTTCTACTGTTTCAGTATTCTTTTTAATAATTTCATCTCATTGATGATATGGTGTGATAAATTAAACTGATGTACATAAGTGACAAGTTATACATTGGTTGTGACTGACTGAGTTCTATTGACCTCGTGAACCAAGACAAAATCAGTTAGCGAAATCCTTGAACTAACTCATAGTTACCGCTTTTCTTGGAGCTAGACAAAATTGTCAAACGGTTAGATTTTTTATTACAAAAGTCCTAATACCTATTTTATTCAACATCACATTCAGTAAAAAATCATCAAGTTACAGGATAATTCCATCATCTGACAAATCAAGATCCAAGAAATACTCTTCATATTAAATATGCCTGATTAGAAATGTGATAATTTATAACAAATAGTAACGGGAACTAGTAACTTGGTAAATAATTAACAGTCTGAAGTATTCTGATTCATCTGGTTTAATGGAGCAGAATCACGTGACTATATCAATTTACTTGCCATAACTATGAATACAGAGAGCTTGTAGAGATTGTCCACTTATTATAGTTTGAATCAAGGAGCGACTTTTGTTCAACAGTAATTAAAAAAACAGGAGTCGCTAGACAACCAATTCTCCTTAACATGGGACTTCTTAACAATGTGTATCTACTGCCGTAGTGGGCCGTGTTGGTAATAAAACGTATACTTCCTTGGATAGGTTGCAAGTTGGGTCTTGAATAAGAAATACTAAGAAGTACCAAACTAGAAAAACAGCTTTCTGATGCCCTCTAATTTATAATGGTTATCTTAATAAAGTCACTCTCATATTATATTACATTACTTGATTATGACCATAAACAAGTAATGGTAAGTGAAGATTGTTCACGTGAACTTAACTACTTATCCAAAGTATCCAATCGGAATAAAGTCGAATAGGAGGGCAACGGACTAGAAAAATATGAAGTGCAATGACAAAAATGATTGAAATTCAATTTGTGTAGCTAAATGATTGCAAAACAAGTGTACCATCCTTGCTAACCTGCTACTCAGTGAAGCTGAGATTCGATAGTCAACATTGATTCAATATCCATAGCTACAAATACATGAATAGTGAATACAGCATGAAGATTATTCGGCTTGTAAAACTGAAAGAACACTTATGAGCGAAGATGGATAATGACTAACATTGGAATCCAGAATGCATGCTTCATCCTATTTGGATGTACCTGCATTCCAGAGTTGATGCTCACTCTGAGACTCGAACCCATAAATAGCCAAATGTAACTTCATCAACTGCAGTTTTGTACATCACTGGGGAAGACTCAAATAAACATAACAAAATGAATTTTAAAGAATATTTGTTTAAAATTTAAACATAAAAACCTATTGAAAATAAGTAAATTAAGGTTAATTCCTTTGAATGAAATGGATAACAAGGATGAAATAAATGTTTTTCTCACGGATTAATACGATATTTCAAAGGTTATCAGCTAACAGGAAGGTCATTAAAAAGAACTGAAAGATAATTGTTAGTTATTTATAATATCATAAAATATACAATGAGGATAGGTTTATTTATTATATTTGAACACATAAATATCGATACAAAGGGACATCAAATACATATGCGACGCATAAGTCACTAGATTTATGTGTGAACTGTGATACTGCTCGGGTGCCAAAACCGAAACAGGTGGTTTTCTTAAGAGGAAACACCCGGAACCTTCGACCTAACCGTCTGATCCACAAGGCAGTTGAACAACATAAGGAGACGTAGTCTCATGGTAGCCAGTGGCCAATAATTGGTTCATACACCATTTGTTCCCTCATGATCTTGAATCCCATGTACACCAATGGTTTGAAATCAGGATTTTCAACTCTTCTAAAAGGATCCTCCGTGTCTACCGACCCTATTGAAGCGCTGGACATTCACTTTTTGTCCTCTCAATTTCATAAACAACACCCCCGCTGCGAGAAAGTAGTAAGTAGGACTTCCATGAAAGTGACTGTATATGTGTGACGATGTGAGACCATTTGAAGACGGGATGTGGACTCTCCCCACCTTCGACCTTACCAAAGCAGTTGGGAGCAATGTGGACTACACATTATTAAAGTCTTTTTCTTTTCTGAACAAAATCCATCAATCATTTATTAAACACATAATCACCATTGTTATCATTCATGAACATATACAGATTTCCAGTTATATATCTTTTAAACAAATAATTATTAAACTATCATATTATCTTAATTTAAACAAGTAATCGATCAATACAGAAAAAAAATATATATATATATATATACTTTAATTCTAGACTTTTGAAATAATGAAAGTTATTTCTCAAGGTCATCCGCCATTCTATTTTATTGATTATTGAATATGACCTTAACTCTCAAGGTTGTTTATTTTATTATTATTTATTATTTTTATATTTTAAAAAAAAAGAGAATATTTATTCCTGAGATATAAAATATAAAATTCTGTTGATGAATAAAGATGGTTTTGTTGTTTTTTGTTGTTTTTTGTTGTTTTTGTTTGTTTTTTTTGTTGTTGTTATTTTATTGTGTTGATTACAACAGAAAAAAAAGAAAAAAAACTTAAAAAAAAAGAAACAAATAAATCATATTTATTTGTAGACAATTTCATTTTAGAAATGGCGCCAAAATACTCCTTAAAATATTGCTATTATTAATAATAATAATGTCAACTATAGTTTAATTATAAATTATTCATTATTATTATTAAAATACTTTGATAGTGAATGAGAATACAAATGAGGACAAATGAATGTATTTATAAAGATAAAAAATATAGAATCTCTTTGTAAAATCTAATTACCTTTACAATAAAGACTTCATTTGTAAAATGTCCATCAATTGTCTCAAATTTAAGTATTTTACTGTTCTTTCATTTCCACACTAATCATACGCTGTTCTTGTTCTGTTTTCTTTGATCTTGTTGACCTTCTACTGTCAGACATTGTATTCCTGACTATTGTTATATAGTACTTATGTCAATATAAGAAGCATACACGACACCAACTAGCACCTCAGTTCCAGGCTCACATTGATGCCCGTAGAACAGCATCTTTCTCCCTTCTGGTTGACAGTGACATCAAATGAAGTGAATAAGTATACAAATAAGGACAATTGAATGAATTTAAAGACAAAAATTATAGAATCTCTTTGTAAAATCTAAAAGAGAATTATACAGTAAATAGTTCATTTGTAAAATGTCAATCAATCGTCTTAGACTTTATTGTTCTTTTATTTCTACACAAATCATTCTCTGTTCTCATTCTCTTTTCTTTGATCTTCTTGACCTTCTACTACTAGACATTCTATTCCTGACTATTGTTATATACTAGCTTCAACTGACTCATGAAATTACTATAATCTCCACAAAACCCCTTCTGATATACTACTTATGTTGATATGAGTATCACACACTACACTTTCAGTATAAATATTGTACTAAGATGTTGTTAAAGTTTTTTCAAGTAGAAAATTATTATTATTTTATATGATAATTTATTTACAGAATCTTAGAATTAATTAAACGAGGCAATAGTTAATAGTTACTAACATAAAACTTCATCAAAATCATCCACCTGAGCTACAAATCTTCCCCGCCATTTCAAAATCATATGAAATTTAAACGTTCAAGAATGAAAAATAAAAAAAATATACTTAAAGATCTATGAGTTTGAAACTGAAAACCTTATAATATCAACTCAGATCAATCCAAGATTCAGTACAATATAATAATTATCTAATGTTGGTACTGTTGGGGAGATACAGAAAACTTTTCGATAAAAGCCAAGAAAGACTTTGAAAACACTACTAAGCATGTTATCCAATCATAGTTCATTAGACGTTTTGCCAGAAACATCAGTAACTATCTTACTTCTTGTGATAATTGAAGTATTTATGGTTAATTCTGATTAATAATAGAACTTGTGGAACCCATCTTGATTTGATTTATTACCATTATTCATTATCATTAGAATTATTGACATTTAAATTGTATCTAATCATAGTTTTAAATCAGTTTGTTTATAATTAAGATCGAGAAACTATTGAATATTTGAATAGTGAATATTTAATCTAATTTCTTTTACTGATTTACTTTTTAATTCATCGTTACCTAGCAACAATTTGAAGGGGAATATTTATGGTTAATTTACAAAATAAACACTAAATTATTTGTAGAAATGTTCCTATTTATTAAGCATATAATGAAATAAAATCTTGAAGAATTAAAAAATTTAATTGTTTTCTACACTGACTTCAAGCAGATACTTCACGTGATTAGTTACAGATGCAGTGTTATGCTAGTCATCAGTACTGATGGATATTAATAACCGGTTATTAATATGAACTTTGTTCTAGGTGATTAGCAATAACATGAAGTTAGGTGGTTAGAGAAAATTAGTAGGAATCATTAAATATTGATTTGTTAACATTTGGTCCTTGTCAGCATGGTGTAACTACAGTCTTTAATAAACCAATTCTTGCCTGTTGTATTATAATCCAAGTGACTCAACTTCACGATATGAAGTTTCACTCAGCAGCGATTGATTTTTTGTTGGACAGATATCTATATTTATTTATCATATAGGTGTAACTAAAATTAGCTATCAGAAAACTTAGTTTCATCAAGATTAGCGGTACCCTAAACTGGTGAGTGTCGACTAGTATGAATCATTAATTCAGGGTTTTCGAAAAATTACTTTCAATCATCTAATAATATATAATTATCATCTATTTCATTAAGGCAATGACGTCTTGACAATATTATATAGCTGATCCGTTCTTCTGTAATTATCATTATTTAACATTATAAAGACATCATCAATCTGGTCAACTGACGAGGCAGCTTTTCATTATATCTCTAATAGAAATACATATTACTTGTGACTTGGTTTTATTGTTCTTTATAATTAAAACGTCTCATTTTGTTAACCTTGAAAAATTTAGAATTTCAAAAAGTGAAAACAAGAGATTATGCAAAACTACGCGGATTCATTTCAAGTTTAGCTGTCAAAGGATCTCCATATCGATTATTTAGTCGAGGTAAGTTTTTGTTTTTATAAAATAAGAACCCAATCTTATTTTGACCATAAGTTATTCAATGTTTTGATTAGTTATAGCCTTACGACAATTAATATACATATATTTTAAACAAGCTATATTACTTTTTTATTATTTAGTAGTATAAATGTAACTACAAAATTAATGTAGTCTCGAATAACCATCATGTAAAATTAGTAATACGAGAGAAAGAAGATATAGATTTCTGTGATGATATTGTCCAGTTAGACAGTGATGGATTCGTGATTGAAATGCAATCAAAAAATTATACATATTTATGTCATCAGTTGATTGACCAGTGTCATTTTCTTTTGTTCATTTGATTAAGACAAAAATCTATCAATCAAGTTAAAATGTTGCTTTTAGTTTAAGTTGCACGATATGGTATGGACAACATTTTGCTACTAGTTGGTTAAAGTTAGTTACGAATTGTAGTAGATGGCGTGGATTCAAATCTCAAATTTTAATACTGATTCAAGGTACACACTGTTGATAGGTAATAACCGGTACAAAACTTAAGTTATACATAACATTCTACCGACTACCTCTCAGTGCATAACATGTTTGGGATCATCAAATGTGGATAACCCAACATGGATAAAGTACCGTCATATTATGTAGTGTTTTTCGGCAAACTTTTTTCATTTATACGTTATATTTTGATTGAATCAAAGTGATCACTGTTATAGTAAACAAGACTTATTATGAACGAAATGTCGCAAATGGATGATATTAAATACTAAGTCATATTAAGCCCTCAAATGCTTTGGTACGTCCGAAGGTGAGGAGAGTCCGATCTCCCTCTCAAAGTGCTCTCACATTGCCACGCATATAAAACAACTTCCACAAAAGTCCTACTCACTGCCTTCTCGCGGCAGGGGTGTTGTTTACGAAATTGAGAGGACAAAAAGCTAATATCTGATGCTTTAACTGGGTTGTTGGATACGGAGAGTTCACCTAGGACAGTTAGAAAACGCTAATTCCAAACCAAAGATGGGTATGTGTTTCAGGATCCTTATGGAACAAAAAATGTATGAACCTATTGTTGGCCACCCGTTACCATGGGACTAAATCTTCATGATTAATTATCATAGTCAATCGTAAAATAAATGTTTATTCATTCATTGTCATATTTTCTTTCTCTAAAGTAATAACTTGATCTCATGATTCTTAATTTAAAACTGCTTTTTCTTATCTACATTTTATGCATAAGGAAATAAACAGTCATTGATTACTGAGCCAGAGAAGAATAATATCGATGTATATGGCTTATTAAAAAAACATTGGACCACATTATATTCAGCACATAGAATGACGTTGGTTGTGCAATCGAAAGGTAATTGTATACTAGAAGGATATATATATATATATCTCACAATTGATTGATCACTGGGTGGTGACCAATGTCATGCTTGTCTAGTCCTTATTATTAGTGCAGATCGAATGCTATCGACCATGTTGCAATGTCCAGGGTTTCCTGTCGACTACCTCCAATCACCATCTAATATATATATCTATATATAGTCGATACGAGAGAATTTTGTTTAGAAAGGGTACATAGTGACTGTTTCAAATGCAGAAATAAATAATAATATTAAGTCAATTAAACATGGTTTCGAAAAATCAGATTAGCACTAGGGACTAGACAAGCATGACATCTTTATTAACTCAGTACACGAAAATGTCAAGCTAGACGGAGTAGCTTAGTGGTAATGGATCTGGCTGTAACATATATAGACTCTTATTTGGATCAAATAATGAATAAAAGTTTACTTGTGAATAAAGTTAGGCCTTGTACACGACAACCAACTTCTTTATCTAGGTCTTCCAAACACTTATATTTTCCAATTGAAGAGTAAATGATTTTGGCTTACAGAAGTTGAATACATCATTTGTTCAAAGATGAATCTCGAAGCACAGCTGATAAGCTGTGTCATCATTACTTAATGGTCGTAAAGTAACTTTCATCAATACTATTTTCCTCCTGTTAATATAAATACTCATTTCAATTCCAAAAGTAAACTCCCAATTTGTTAGAGTTTTCATGACAATCGTTTTCATTGCAAGCTGAACAAAACTACAACCAAGTAGTTATGCAATGCAGATCCTGATCTACGGCAATCATTCTATGGTGATACTTTAGAAAACATGTTAACAGATAATATTCACAAATCCCAAGTAAAGAACTAAAAATATGTGTTCTAGGGGAGTGTCTAATCTGTTGTCCATAAAATAATCAGGTATATCTATACAGTTCATTGATTGTTTAGCAGTATTACCAATTCCATATTTGTCTAATCATTTAGTACTGACCAAAGTTTGCCAGTCCAACTTCAATATAACCATTGGTCTAAGTAAATCGACATCTCATCCAATACGTTGACATGTTGGGTGGCTGAAGGTATTCGAAAGGAAATTCTATTGTACATAGGTTTCATAGTATTCGGTACTCATCAGCAAGAGGTATCTGAAATCTCGATGAAAATTATGTATCCTGTGGGACTTGAATCTATTCCATTGAGTTTCACAATCTAAGACGAGTGCCAAATATCACGAAGCGTAAGTCTTAAATTTCTTGTAGACTACCTTTAGCCACTTGACAATAATATAGTGGATTTTTTAACTTCATTGATTACTAGACTACAGATACACTTTTTTGGTCGATTAATTACGAACAACGTATGAATGATAAAAGTTTGTTGGTACAAATTAAAGAGGTGAAACTAAAATTTATGGACGACCTTTGAGTGATACTTAAGTGATCTTGAGAATGTTAACCTACTTACCAGGTCGTAAATTACTGTGAGGAATAATGAATAGGATCTACGGTCGGATGTTAAGATTAGGAATCATGGTTGGGGTTTTCATCATGAACTGATTTCAATTATAATGCCAAAATGCTATTTACCTATATGGATGCACAAATTTTGCGCAAAAATTCAGTAACTGCTAACTTAAATCTGATTGGTTAGCCCATAAATTACAATCTTGCCGTTACAAATTGTACAAACTATACAATTAGTTACTGGGAAATATTAAAATATACGCAACTGATATCTTTTTATGGATACATCAATGTAAGTAGTTCTGATTGTGATGCGCCAAAGCTTTTTAAGAGAAGGTGGAAGTTTACATGAGCGTAAAGATTTTAAGAATGGACGTGGGATTGTCTGATTGTATTTATGTATATAAATCTTTTATACTTACAGATTCTTTGAACAAAATGGAGAAAATTGTCCGAGAGAATTTCTCTAATATACCTGCAAAGTTTGTAAATTTTTCAGTTTTTATTTATTCTTAAAGAAATGAAACAAAATTATGCCGGATAACTCTATGATGGTATTCCGATAGTTGTTTCAGCCTAGAATCACTAAAACAAACTAATATGAACACTTAGGATTTTCCTGATAATTAATATCAGATAATAGTTTTGTAATAAGCATTCGGTTTTAACTCATAATGTTCACTATCGTTAAAACAGCGAACAGGTGAAACAACTGCATATCATCTAATGTTCTATTCAATGTTGTGGAACTGATTTTGGTGGTCTCCTCTCAGATCAAGAACATGTGATTGACCTGACTAGGACGTAAATATATTTCCACACCAACAGCCGACAACAGTCTGACACAATAGGACAACAATCAATAATAATAAGGATAGGAGAATATATAACTTATCTAACGCCTGTCAGATTATCTACAAGTCTGACTAAGCAAATAATCAATTATTATCATCCTCATCTACACATCAGAGCCAAGCTGAGTCTGTTTATGATTGATCAACAAAGTACTACATCTCGACATTTGGGGTTCTCTACGGTTTTGAAATACTTGAGGAATTAGCAGCGATCGAGCTACTCTATTGTTTTTGGTTCGATTGAGTATAAAACATTCCAACATTTGACCCCTAACGCAGGCTGAAGATAAAATGTGAAAATACTTGGTCTTCGAAGTAAAACAACCAGTACATCTACTACATATAATATTGAAAACATGATAGATAATCAAACAGGTATTCAGTGAACTAAAAGTCATAGGAATCAATCATAAAAACAAAAAAAGCTATGAGGAATGCTAAATTCTTAAAAAAAGGCTCTTATGGTTATAATTTCCTGTAAAATTTTAGCATTGTTAATAAAACTTAAGTAACCTTGTGTTTACACAAAGTGGATCACTTATCACTAGAAAGTATGACAAACAAGTTGTTTTACCTTGGAATAGATAGATCGTGAGAAGCAGCGGAATTCAGGATGCATGCTCCATCCTATATACAATGAGCTAGCTAAGTTTACACGTAACCCGTTGGGGATTTTCACATTGAAACTTGAATCTACTACCTGTCAATTCAGACAGAAAAATATTATACACTGAAATACTGAATCTAGTTATCCATCAACTCATTCAGGAGATATTATACTATTTATATAATAATGATTAATGGTTTGAATAATTCCTTAGTTAATATTCAAGACGGTTTTCTTAGCCAGTTTATTCTAATAGACTTTTGACAAAATGGCCATACTAGAACAACCTGTGCAGGCTGCACTATGATTTATCAGAATCCTGTTCCTACTATTACTAACGATAAAGCTCACTTGTTTACCAGTAATTTGATGTTTTACCAATTAGTGGTAATCGATATGATTGCATTCGTCAACTGCTGTTTTGTACAACTATTATCTAATCAGTTCTAGGTGCAAAATCCTACACACCTTAAATTTGGATAGGTGGTCATTGTTATTAAGCTTCACATGTAAGGTTTAAATTAAAGATGTATACCGGGATCTACAAATGGACTGGGTTTATCTTAGCGTTTAATTTAACACAAAGGAAGCTAAGATGATGTAACGAAATAAACTCATTGTAACCAGTTGGATTAGTAAACGATGTTCTACCATTTAAGCTTTATCATGATTAATTTTCAAGCAAGTGTATGAATGTGATCAACAATGAGATAAGTATTCATACATAACCAACTAATTCTGTGTAACACGGCTATAGCTACTTAGATTATTATTATTATTATTATTATTATTATTATTATTGTTAGTAGTAGTAGTAGTAGTAGCTTTATTCAATATTATATTTTTGGTACAGTACAGAATTTTCAGCAAGAAGTATTCCAATAAGTTTCCGTTTCTTATTTCTATATCGATCGTGATGATAAATATTGAGTGATCGCCAGTTAGATGTTAGCAGTTTAGGAATCGACATCTGAATAATGTACATACCTTCCAATGTATATTGCTAACAACCACAATGTATCTGATTGTGCTCTTTCCTATCTTGTACAGCGAAAGGTCGTAAACATTTCATAAACGCACCTGAATAGGTTGTGCAACTAATTGATATAATGATCTGTTGAAACAAACCAAAGACAGATAACTTGTTGAATGATCTAGATGATAGGAACAGGTATCCAAGCAGGCTCTCAATGTATTATACATCTTAGTATTATGCTTTAAATGTTGAGTTTTTTTAAGTCATTACGTAATTGTTTAAAGAACAGTATTATCTTTGTAAATCTTTTGTTTTTCTATTTTCTTTGAATGATAATAAATGTAAATGGTAATTTTTATCATTCATAGTCGATCAGTGAAAATAGATTTGACAAGATATAGAAACAGTTTTGATTCACCAGAATTCTTAAAATTATACCATGGTAAGTCAGTGTAATACTTATATATATATATATATATATATATATATATATATATCATAAATTCAACTATTAAATTACTAAAATCTCCACAAAACCCCCTTTGGATAATAATATTCATCTGCTAACTAATGACTGGCTTCAAGAAGTATTTCCTAGAGTTCTATTGAGAATCCGTGACCAGTGCAGTTCAACCAGATGTGTTGGGTGATAGTAACTCTCTGAAGGCAATGATTGATGGTGGCGCAATTTCGCGAATTGATTGAAATTAGATATTAACACAGTTGGATGGCGACCCACTGATCTTGAGGATGTGTTCGCGCGCAAGATCGATAGGTTCTGGGTTCAAATCATCGTGGGGCGGGATCTTGGGTGCGCACTGTAGAGTAGTCGAACACTAGGGCATGTTTCCATGGTGGTCAAGCTTTAATTAACTCATGAATCCAACTATTAAATCATATATATATATATATATATATATATATATATATATATATATATATATATAAGATGAGAAGAATTTGTGAACCACATTGATGATACTTCTCCAGTTTCTTGGTAATTAGATTAGTAATAGGCTGCAAATGTTTTTTGAAGATAACTATGGAATAAGTTGGATTTTTTGGACTTAATTAGCACAAAGGGTTAAAAACTAGCTACATTTGGTTATGACGTGATCTGTAAAACTTTATAAGAGAACAGAATATGTTTTACAGAAAAAATATGTCTGAAATATGCAAATAAGTATTCATTAAACCTCATTTGTTAGATAATTGTATTACTTTTAGTCGTGAAACTACAGTTGTGGAGATTGTTCTATTCTACTGAACATGGAAGCACTGAGCGGTGATCCATCTTAGCTTGAAACTCATCACTAGTGAAAATCAACAACCGCGCACCCGGGGTCGGATCCAAAATCCTCGAACATTTTAATCTCTAAACCATTGAATCGAGACTCAATGTTGTAGTGGTGAAATCCACACTCACCAGTTTAAAGCTACAGGAGCAAACTTCATAGCATTACTAAAATTGAATAGTAGCAAGTTTTGTCCAGTTTGAAACCTGTAATTTTGAACGCAACTCTACATCAATGCTGAGGTTCACTATGGGATTTAAGCTCAATATCTATTGCTTTGTATATTGACGCGTTGTTAACTAATCCATTGAGTCTAAACAGACCCTATCCTATATAATGTATAGACTGTTCTTATCATTATTAATAAGGTATGAATTCATACATAATCATAGTTTCTAATGAATAAATGTTCATCACATGATGGTTAAATATTGTGATACATTCGATAAAATTTGTAACACATTAACTAGTAATAATAGTGACATTAATAGTAATTAAAATACCATTTTACCATTCCTCTTTCGTTTGACAAATATTTACTATTCAGTTGATAGTACTCGAAATAAGGAACAATTACGTATGGTTTGGGCTGTACCAAGTGTTTGTACATTGTATGAGTAAGTGTAAATTGTATATATATATATATATATATATATATATATATATATATATATATATATATATATATATATATATATATATATATCCTCTGATTAATTTGTTTAAATGTTTAAATTTCTAGAAGAACATTAGTTTCTATTGAAAATTACAAATACACCTTGTTAGTAAATGCCAATTTATATGAAACTTACAAGTATTCCTTTATATTACTTTCTTTCAATAAACTTTAAATAACACTTAAGAAGGCAATGTATACAACGGGAAAACTGAATTCATTAACTTTAAACACCTTTTATATTTATGTTTATGAATATGTTATCATAGTTCAAGTGTAATATCGTAAATGTTTGAGGTCGAAGGGTTTAATTGACTCTTATATTTGCTACAATACTACAATTTATGATGTAAAAATAACTAAGATGTGTGAGGATAGTTCACGGGTGAACTTGAGGAACCTCTAAGAAGCTCAGAAAGAGCCAAAGATATTCCATCCAATCATCTTATAGAAGAATAATCCAGAATCCATACATTTAACTTCCCTATTGAACAAATGTTAATAACCCCCTGTATGCGGATTGGAGGACTATAATAATGATTTCGTTTTTACTAAAAACTATAAATACCTGATTGTTCTGTACCATAAATGAAACTGTTTTGGAATAGCATTCTTTTCACTTGTCGTCTGTTTTCTCATTTGTGACTTGGTGGGTTCCAGCGTTCGATTTCACTAGTTGTACGCAGTATAATTAGAAACTATGCTCTAGATATAAAAAATGATGACACAGATTATCGTCACTTGTAGAATTTTTACACTTATTAGCTTAAAAACTCACTTATTAGTTTCGTAATTCTAAATAATGTCATTCTCTTACTGACAAATATTGTTACTGTTACACCTAAACTATCTTCCTAGACGGTTCAGAAAAGTGCAGGTACTCCTACACGTCAACTAGAATAAAAGAGCGAAGGCGCGAACTGTGAATACAAGATTTACACTAAGGTTATTTTCTATACAGAAGAAACACGAGGAAATTCATTGAGTTATACATGATTATGAGATTTCGGAAATTTCATTCACCACACTAAATATGGTGGCAGTATAGATAAATATCCAGTCAAAACCTTTAAACGTGATTCTGCATTTTCTGGATGTTTCTGAGAAGCTTCTATTCAACTCCAATTGGATGAAACATTTCCTGGCATTTCTTGGTTATTAAATGTTTTGACATTAGATACTCGGCGAAAGCTCCAACAGATATCCTCCACCACTTATTAAGTCTATTAATTACTCGGGTTTTAAGATCTTAATTCTTTAATTACTATCAAAGAATAGTATGATTGAAGATGGCCAAAGATAAGAAAAAAAACAAAAAAGTATTTTATTCATTGATTAGCAGTCGTTGTTATGGTATATCTTCAGTCATGAGAAACAAATGAAGTTTCTCTATAGATTTAGTTATGGCACAGAATAAGTAAAATATTTTGTGTACGTATGATTTTCAATCGTATATCTGAGAATTATTCATGGTATCAATATTACTGTTGGATCCGATCAAAGAATAAAGGAATGGTAAATGGACTATCATTATAAATATCCTTATTGGGAAATTAATAAATAACTAGATTATATATACTTAATTCCTTACGCTTGTTACCCCCCCCCCAATGGAGCATAAGCCACCGTGCAACATTATCAAACCCACTCTGTCCTGGAACTTCATTTCCAGTTCTATCCAGTTTTTGTTCATTTTTTTCTCATGTCTGTCTCCATTTCTCGGCGTAATGTGTTCTTTGATCTTCCTCTTATTCATTGCCTTGAGGATTCCAAGTTAAGGTTTGTCTTGTGACGCAGTTGTGTGCTTTCCTCAATGTGTCTTATCTACTTCCAGTGCTTCTTCCTGACCCCTTCCTCCACTGGGATCTGGTTTGTTCTCTCTCATAGTATGTTGTTGCTGATAGTGCCTGACCAACGAATCCGAAGTATTTTGCGCAGGCAACTGTTAATAAACACTTGTACCTTCTGGATGATGGCTTTCGTAGTTCTCCAAGTTTCCGCCCCATACAGTGGAACTGTCTTGACATTTGTATTGAAAATTCTGAATTTGTTGTTGGTTGACGGTTGTTTCGAGTTCCAAGGTTATATATATATATATATATATATATATATATATATATATATATATATATATTCCTTTTGTCATAAGCTTTCATTCGACCAATTGTTTACCATTCTTAATTCTTCCCAATCTACTTGTTAGTCACCTATACTCACAACTACTCCTGCCTTAGTCTTGTATAATTATTATCTTCCATTTAATTGTATGATACGATCTGGTCTGCTTGTATATAAACCGCGTATATCTGAACTAAACGATTTATATAGCGGAAGCTGATATTTGTATTCTGAACTGAACAATCCGGGTTACGTGAGAAGTACTATACAAAGGGCTAATAAGGACACAAAGTTACATCAAAGCTTCTAGTGCTGATTGATATATCATTAGTTTATGACAAATATGGTAACATATTTTGTGATTTTAATTCTGAATGATTAGTGCAGCAATTAACATCTTGTAAGATGTTATGATGTTATAGTAGTAACTGATCCATGAAAGACCGCTTTGTTCAAGTACGATGCGACTACTTAGTAATACTTATCCATGATCCCACAATGGAGGCTGTCACCTGAAATCTTTAATATTGAGCTCAAATGCTTAATCTCTAGATCATAGTGAATTCATTTAATAAATTTATATGGATTTCATTAATTTAAACTAAGTGAATAAATTAACAAGTTATTTATTCTTTATGAATTATTTTAAATACCTTGTTCAATGTGATTTTCATTTTAATTAAACAATCACCACCACCACCACAACAACAACAACAACAACAAAAACACAAAAAACAAAACGAATAATTATTCATTCTAATATTTCATTACAAAAAGAAAAAAAAAACAACATACCATTTTGAAATTTTTCATTTTAATTTAATGATTTTCTTTTAATGTATTCCCATCGAGGTTTTGGAATAGATCTATGCCAAGTTCCATCTCCCCCTTTCTCTCTCTCTCTTTCTGTGTTTCTATATATATCTATATTTGCATATTTTTTTGTATTCTATCCATATAAATATTCATATAGTTACAAATTGACATTCATCTATGCACATTCATATATATATATATTCACTGTAATATTTGGAAGAAATTTTTGTGGATCAAAAAACTGAGTTCATTGTTTTTTTTAATTTATAAGTTTTAATAGTTGAAATTATGAGTCAATCGAAGCTAAACTATCATGGAGAATCTGGAAATACTGAACAGTCATTTTATCCGATGATGGTTTAGATTCAATTGACTCATAATCATAACTATTAAAACAATGATAATCTTCATAAAACCCTTTTAGATATTTTAGAAGTGTTAAAATATTTATAACTTATGTGTTGTATTCATTTAATATTGTTTACATGAATCTTTCAATTGTTGTTTAGACTTATAATTGATCAGTTTCTTATTGGTATAAATGCAACCTGTGCAGATTGCCTCGATATAGGCTCAAATTACAAGCATTCTAAGCAAAGATGAACAGTAGCTAGTGGTGGAATCGAGAACGCACGTTTTGTTCTATCTGTGACTTCTCAGCTAGATGTACCTGTATCTCGAAATTGATGTGTCACTTTGGGACTCGAACCCAATACCGTTCACTTCAAACGTCATTTACCTAGTTACTGAGTTCTGATAGCTACTTGCTTGTGTAATAGGGTGAAGTTTTAAATTTACTTGGTGTTGTTTACTTGTATCTAGCCATTGTTATTTAAGATTGTAATGGATCAGTCTCTTGTTGATATATGTGCAACCTGTGAGGATTGCTTCGATATTGCCTTAAGTCACAAACGTTATAAGCAAAGATGACATATAAAATCGGAAACTAGTTCTTTGTGAACTGTGGTATTTATGAGAAAATTCATAGATTATAATGTTCAATTGAATATAATAGAAATGATCATATATAAATATATAGTAAACTAATCGGCTTTCATTGATACTAATCAAGTTAGGTTCTTTCAACATCTTTGTTATTCAACTAAAATCGAAGACAGTTTAGTGGCCCGTGATCTGACTCCAATTTGATCGTAATGATTGGTTGCTATCGTCTATCCTCGTATATAATCATTGACTTAAATCGCGTTAGTTAATAACGGAATTAAATAAGTCAAATAACGAGAATGGAGTTTTGAAAGCATATATTTCGTATAATTGTTGATTAGACAAACGAACGGAGGAACGACGCGAAGAGAAGAAAGTGAAGCAAAATTGACGAGCGGTGGAGATGGCTGGTAAGCCAACTCTCCCTTTAACAAAGAGTTAATCAATATTTATAAGCCCACAAAAATAAATTACAGACATGTGATGAGTAACGGGATAAGAAGTGTGCATACGCCTACGCGCTCATACAAAGACAGTCAAGACCTTGATAAGCGAATAATTAACAAGGTCAGAATGTGACTCAAATAGAATGAATAGAATGAGCTGTCCGAAAGTTAGAATAATAAGGTATTTGGGCTTAACATAATGACAGACACTACAACAGAAAATCTCAACAGAATCTGAATAGAAGATCATCAGTTCGATTACACATGGAATGGTCAATTTGTTATAAAAGAAAACTAGAGTGATATCTGATTTCAATGATTTTACAATATAAAAAGGCATGTGGTGATTTACATTTTGAAAAACTAATATATTCCTTTTGTAAAGATTTTTATTTTATTGGATTTGAATATATGTGTAAATGTGAATATTGGGATCCAATTATAGTTACCTAAGAAATTCAAAATAGGACAAAATACACTTTCTATATTTCATCGTTAGATACCATCTGTCATTAATAAAGGATGTACAGGGAACTGTTATGTTATATTTGAAACTCATCAAATAGATGTATTTGCATTCCAAAGTTGATGTTCACTCCGGGATTAACCATCAGGTTTAAATTAACTGACAGCTGATTGATCTATTTACATTCCTATGTATGTCATCAAAACCTTATATGTTTATTATTTTAGATCAAATCCAGTTGCCGTGCTTGCATATTTTCTAAGTGATAAACATCCATATGGTCTTGAAAATTACCTTAAAAATAAGTAAGTAGTTCATATTTTCATTTGAATAATAACTAATTTAATTACATCTTTTTCACATTATAGGTTAAACCCATCCTTATTTAGAATAACGCTAGTATTTCCCTGATATTAATGGAATGTTAAATTGTTTAAGCCAATAATGAATGATTTATTTGCGTATACAATCACTTGCAATATGCTAGACACCCAGTCAACAAATACTTTACCATCTTTCAACACAATTCATATTGGGAACACATAATTCACATGACTAGTTCGTTTATTAATCAATTATGACATCAAAATCACAAACCGATCAAAGTTAAACTATGATTGAAAACTTAGAAGCATAGGACGATCTTTTAGTTCTAATATGGGACTACTCGGCAGTGCAGATTCACTATTCCGCTCATCGAAATCTAACTAACGACGTTTGGTGTCGCTCGCAATCATTTGACCTCTAGGCTACTGAACGGTATCTAACAGTGTTAATGCCTAACCTCAATCAACTTACAATGTTGAGCGGACATATTGCATTGTCTTCGCTAGCTGACTGCTTCACACTCAACATGGTCAAACTCTACTGGTCACGGCTTCCCACTAGAATTTTGGAAGTTTCTCTTTGAAGGTAGTCGCTAGTGAATACATGACAATTTTCAAAGATAGTTTTTACTCGTTTGAAACTGATTGATCTATTTATGTGTATACATTAAAAAAAATACTCAAAATAATTAATGAACATACGATTGTGTATTAACTGTAAATCATTATAATATCAGTCGAATAGGCTAATTAGTTAGACTGTAAAACGCGATCTTTTATAGTCTGTAAGAAATCACACATAGCAGGATGGTATAGGCTACTATGATGTAAGCTTTTGAAGTAAACCTTCTGTTGAAATATGTGATTTAGGTTTAAGCATACATAATTTATTAGCAGAAATATTTGATGTACATTTCATACTATCGTTCAACTAAATATCATTCTGTTCACCAAAATCACTGACTTATTTCACCAAAAGCATGACTATCCAATATAGATATGATTTCATTATTGTGGTGAACGAATACTCAGTTGGAGAATACCAATTTATTGTTTACAACAAAATTAGTCTTTGTAAATTATGGAAATCATACATCAAATACTTCATTTGCACATCTTCCCTCAGTTGTCATTTACATGTTTTATGATTTTTCTAATTCTGTTTTTACTGTGATTCTTTTCATTTTTTGGTTCTTCTCAGTTTAATCTTCCCAATCTTCTTATAATAACCATTCCACTTAATATTAGTGTTACACGCTATTTATATCTGTCGACATAAGTAGCATGCACCACAAGTGTTCCCCCTTTTAAACAGTCGCTCCTGTGGCTGCTATGAGCTCCGTGCCACTTTCTTCTTTACCACAGTCTGTGTCACTCTCCTCGTTAACGTGTCGAGTCCGCCGGCGTGCCCACCTTTGTAGCTCCGTCGACCTGCTGTGACATCTAAATTCGATGTCCACCCAGCAGCCGTACTTCCCAGTGCTTCTCTTCATCTACAAAAACTGCTACAATCAACGCCCCCCCCCGCCAGAGCATCCCATACTTATGTCTGTCGAAATAAGTATCATACAACACAATCGTAACTAACTTTGTTAAATATTTAACAGTTTGAACAGCAGCCAGTATAAATATCCGGAATAAATAAGAGGGTTCACTTAATTTTCATACTGCTAGTAGATTAACTGTCTAGTTTATTGTTTTTGTTTTGTAACAATGTGGATAGTATACTTTAGTGGCCCGTGATCTGACCAGTGTAAATGAATAAGCCATCAACATACATTTACTTTTTTGATTTTGCATATTCCACTTAGGCTAACATGGCTTAAGCGAACGCGGTAAAAATTAGAATTAAGTTGGTCGAATTTACTTTAGCTACACCTTTACTCAGGCTGACGTTAAAATGAAAAAAAAAACGACGCGTCAACTTAGTGAGTAACGGATGACTCAATCTTTAGACGTATGTAAGTAAGTAAACAGACGAACACTCGCTAGTATGCAGCATACTTCGAATATTTTGATGACAGCAGAGAAAGTGTACTACGGAATGATTAAGAAGTTTTGACACTTTTACAAATAAAGTAGATTAAGAATCACTACCGGTATAAGTTCGAACTGTTTTGGTGCATAACAAGACAGATAAAATGTTTGAACAGTTAACTTCACAAAAAAGTCTTGATAGTTTATATGTTAATTTCCTGTGCACTGACGCTACTCCAAATATTCTGGTGATTAACACTGTACTACAGTCAGAAGCATTTACGATGACATTTGAACGATCACCGAAATCTTGTATAACTCCAATGTTTTGCACTAATTGGTTGGCGCATAGTAACAGATGCCATGTTGATTGCATCACATCATTAGCAACTCAGCCAATAAATTCAGTGTCAGTTCAGATCAATGTAATTTGTTAGACCTTGTATTGTTAAAACCAATAAAAAGAATCCCCTTTCCACTTAAGCTTCTATATTAGCTGGCGCTGATAACATATGTATATTCAAAACCATGAAGCAACTGATACTTTAAAAACAAGATAATAACTAAAGGACTGACAAGATGATTGTTACTCTTCAGTGAATAAGTGGTATGAAGAATATTTGCTCATATGGTATTAGTTTCTTAGCAATTTTAAATAAATGAATATAAAACTAGCTTAACAAAACAGTTTGGGTACAAACACTAAAACGGATTTATCGAGGTTGTTAAATTTCACAGTTTGTATCACAGGCCAATCAAAGTTAGACAATCAGTTAAAACTGGGAAGCACTGAACAGCTATTTTACCTAAATATGGAACTTCACAACAGTATATATTTACGACCCAAGATATTCAGGTCTCGCGAAGAGCGTATAATCTTTAAAAAAACTGAGTTACCAAACCACTGTAACGTCTCATACAGTAACGAGGAAGCTTTCCAGTTCTCCCTGATTTTCAATAGTGATCTAACTAAGACCAGTTGCTGATATTAATTATAATATAAGATACGAGTTTTACAAAACATTAGGGTTTGTGTTTTCTTAGTAATATTAATAACATAAGCTACCAATATTAACAATTAACCATATAGTAGACTCCAAATACTAAATCAATTTTCAGTCAAAAATAAAACATATGACAGGCAAAATTAATTATTTTCATGTATCAATGATGAAATGGCGCCGGTAATTTTTGAAAGTATGTAAATACATCATTAAAATGAATGATTCTTTTCGAATTCCACTGAAATCAGTAACCGATCAATGATGAACCACCATTGAAAATCTGGAGGCCCTGGACGGCCGCTTCGTCCTAGCATGGGACTCCTTAGCACTGTGAATCTACGATCTCGCGCGCGACCTCTTAACCCCTATACCACTGAGCGTGTAAATAGTAACTGGCTTGGAGAGGGAATTCTCGGAGTTCCGATAAGAAGCCGTGACCAGTGGAGTTGAACCGTGTCAGTTGTGAGGCAGTTACCCACCAAAAACAATGGAAGATGGTCGCAAGACATTGTGGATTGATGGGTGTTAGATATTAACACCGTCAGGTGCTGGCTTAGTGGTCTAAAAGTCAAGTGCTCGTGCTAACGAGACAGAAGGCTTTGGGTTCAAGTCCCTGCCTGGATGTGGACTGCTTAACGGAATGACTATTCAATGCCTCCGGGTTTTCAATGATGGTCTACCATTGATCGGTTCACGATTTCAATGAAATTTGGTAAACTTGACAACTCCGAACTGAAGATCCTCTTTGATTCGATGAGCCACAAAAGTGTCATATTAATATCGACAGAGAAAATTCAAGGAATTGATGATGTTTTTATCAAATGCATTATGAATAATTGAATTACTTTACACTAACAACACCGTACATAAAATCATAAGGAAGATATATTGTTCAGATTGATAATAAACATTTTATTTATCATAACGTGTTGAATTATGCCGAAGAATTCTTAACAGAAAGCATCCGACCTTGCCACAAATCCCACTCTCTTATACTCATTTAACTTTAAAATAATTAACGTAAATAGAAATGTTTCTTAACATTGATTATTACCTGCTATTCCTATTTATCATCAAAGCATCTCTCCAACAATTTTGTTCATAGAATAATACAGCTACTACCTGAATTTCATTATAATTTCTTTTCATTTCATCAAAAGATAAAAGGAGAGGAACAGTGACAACGTCACGTACACAAACACATACTTACTTATCCCTCGTGTAGGAGCATAGGCTATCCACCAGCATTCTCCATACAACTCTGTCTTGAACAATCCTTTCTAGTTGTGATTCATCCTTTTGATGCCTGCTTCTCAACCTGAATAGAAAGAAAATAATAATCATCAAGTGTTGGTTTTGACACATTAAATGAACACATTGAAAATATGGAGGATTAATTGTAACCATGTTGTGTACTATGTACATATCAGAAGGGTTTTTTTGGGTATTATAGTAATTTCAATGGTTGAGATCATAAGTCAATTGAAGCTAGACCGCCATGAAAAATTTGGAAGCACTGGATGGCCATTTCGTCCTATTGTGGGACTCCTCAGCAGTGCGAATCCACGATCCCGCCTTGCGAGGTTTGAATGCAGGACCTACCAGTCTCGCGCATGAGCGCTTAACCACTGAACCTGTCATCAAACGGTGTTCATGTCTAGCTTCAACCAATTCACGAAATTGAGCGACACATCCATCATTGTCTTCAGTGAGTTACTATCTCACAACAGACCCGGTTGAATTCCACTGGTCACTGCTTCTCATTAGAACTCTAGGCAATACTTCATGAAGACAGTCACTAGTGAGCATATGTTGATTAGTATCACAATATTATAGTAATATTATAGTAATTTCAATTATTATGTACATATTGTATACACAATATAACAATAGATACCTCTAACTATCATATCAGGTTACTAAATAGTTATGAAATTCTCTATTACTACAATTTAAATCTGACTATTATAACATTATTTTCATTATTTAATTTTATTCAATCATTAATAGTCATTTAGCAACAGAAGTAAAATGTGAATTTTCTGCAATGTCCGATTTCGATAATTCAACAATTTGTGCTTTGATTACCATTTGTATTGATTTAAATGGAACACGTCCTGATCTATTCAAAGTAAGTTATGATGGAAGGTTTAGTTATTATTCCACCAGAACAGTTAAATATATCAAATACTTGTACATTAAAAACGTCGGATGTAGCATTATTGATTCATTTAAAATAGGGTAGAGATCAATGTTGGTCCACCAGGGTGCTTGGTACCTGTGTGATTGCGCCACAGGATTGAGCTGCACTATTCAGATTGTAGCGTTAAAGCCTATACGGTGTCTGGCTCTTCTGTTAAACGGGCTTGGGCTGTACTGTTTGGGTTGTCACATGAAATTCTGGACGGTGTCTGGTTCTCCTGAAAACCAATGTAAAATTACTATGGCCCACAAGGGTATATTATATATTATATAACTAAGAGATCAATGTGCTGAGTTTAATATTAATTCAACTATATTTCATGCCTATTCACTATGAAGGATACATGTGTTAAGTAATGACTTTTTAAAGATTGTGAAATCTTAGTGGTTTCAGATATTATAAGTACTAAATTATCAGTTCAATGAATAACATAGAATTTGAACATTGTTCAAAAGATGGTGGTATTTGTCACAAGCTGATCAAAACTGGAGTATCCATAAAAACTGGGGTGCATTGTTATGTTTAGTGACGATTCATTACACAAACACCTGGAATCTTTAGGATTTATGGTAAATAAATAACCATTAACTTACTGGATTCTCGTCTAGTGGTACGAATTTCCAACTTAAAGGAACCTGTGACAGGTGACTATTGTTTTGTATAAATGACCCTTGAACAAGTTTTAAGTGCTTAGTTTTAAAGAGCCTAACTAGGGTAAAATAGATGTCTAATACTTCCCAATTCAGCTCAGTGACAAATGATTCATATAAGGTAAATTGATCTTCATAACTCATCGAACAATGTTAATTTATGTGGTAATTCGTAAACAATAAGGATCACTATGATTACATTGTAAAAGGTGATTAGATTTCAGGTCAAAAATTGAAATAACCCCATAATGGAGATCGTATGAATAATTCATTGTAGTGCCCCCAAATGCCCTGGTACGGCCGAGAGTGTGGGGAGTCCGCTCCCCCTCTCGAAATGCTCTCATATGGCCACGCGTATACAGCCCCTGACAGGGAAGTCCTACTCACTGCCTTCTCGTGGCACCGGTGTTGTTTACGAAATTCAGAGGACGAAAAGCGAATGTCCGGCGCTATAACCGGATCCCAAACCAATGGTGCACATGGGCTCCAGTATCCTGCGGGAACAAATGGCGTATGAACCAATCGTTGGTCACCGGCTACCATGGGACTGCATCTCCTCACGATGCTCCACTGCCTTGTGGATCAGATCTTCAGGTCAAGGGCTCGGGGTGTGGCCCCCTAAGAAAACCACATGCTTCGGTTTGGGCACCCGGGCAGTATCACAGCCCTCACACATATCAAATGAGATCTGTGTGGCGCATATGTATTTGGTGCCTTCTTGTACCGATATTTATGTGTTAAAATAAATAAATAAAAATAAATTCATTGTAGTATTGTAGTTCAATATATCGCAGCATACGTGACTCTTTATAATTGCCATTTCGATTTTGATCAAATACATAATTACCTTCCTTGACGCAAAAATCGATACTAATAACTAGAAGTCCATATAAATTGTGAAGATCCAAATGATGTATAAGTCAGATTATGAACTAATATAATCAGTATATATATATATACAAAAATTAGATGCATGTTATTGCTTTATTTCTTAGTAATATGGTGTGTTCTACTGATTTCGACAAATATAAGTAGCATGTATCATCAGTCGAAAATGAGATGCCTGAAAGCAGAAGGTTAAGAAGATCAAACAAAAGAAAACAGAAATAATGAATGTTTTCTGTGAAAACGAAAGAATAATGAAGTCTGATATTTTATAAATAAAGTATTTACTATTTGAATCTCAGATTTATGTAAGACGTTCTGTAATTTCATGTTAAAATACATTCGATTGTCCCTAATTATGTTCTCGTTCACTACAGTAATATAAGATTTTATCAACTGATGGATAGGTATTTTCAGTGGTTGAGATCATGAGTCAATTGAAGCTAGACCACCATAGAAAACCTGGAAGAACTGGACGGCTGTTTCGTCCTATTGTGGGACTCCTCAGCAATGCTCACTGCTGGACAAATATTTGTCAATACATAATTTTACATTCAACAATTCAATATTATTCACTTTTTATGTATTAACATTCATTTACATTTATAGTTAAATTCATGAGTCAATTAAAGTTAGATCATTATGAAAAACCTGGAAGCTCTGAACGGCTATTTCGTCCTAGTATGGATCCTTTGAGTACTTTCAGCTTCTCCATGATAGTGTAACTTCAGTTGACTCATAAATTCAACTACATATAAAATTACTAAAATCTTTACAACCCCTCCCCTGCTTCTCATAATAATTTCTTATTTTGTTTAGATTACAAAAATTGTTTATGAATATTTACGATTTTTATCAAATAAAGCAAATGATGCATGTATAAATAAAAACTCAGAAGAGTATATTCATAATACTACTAATACTACTACTACTAATCATAATAATAGTAATAATGCTGGTAATATTAAATCAACATTTGATTCATGTGTAAGAGATTTTCAATTAACTCAAAAAGAAACATTTCAATGTCGTACAATATTTGGACCACAAGAAACTGTTATATGGATTGCTACAATGTTACATCATACATTACCACAAGATGTACATTCAGCATATTTAATTATTAAAACACTTGATATTCAGGTAAGACTAATGATAATAAAGTACTATTAGGTAATATGAACTATTTAATAGTAAATATCTATAATCCTACCAGTGAATGAATTCAGTAAATAGAGTACTTTTAGTGAATACGCTATATGTAAATTAATACGTTGATATATATATATATATATATATATATATATCTCTTTCAGTTTGTACTACTACTACTACTACTTACGCCTGTAACTCCTCGTGGAGGAGCATATGTCGCCCATCAGCACTTGCCATTCGACCCTGTCTTGGACAATCCTTTTCATATATGTTTCTGTTCCCTGACAATGTGTTCTTTAGCCTTTCTCTTCTCTGTTTCCCTTAAGGATTCCTAGTTATCTTTTACCTTGTAGGACTGTACAATAATTTTCCAGTATTATAGGTGATATCTATAATTCTTTGATGATAATGTTAAACTTTATCTGTTTGGGTTTCTTTTTTGGAATTTTCAAGATTTGTTTCAATGTAATTAACGTATTCAGAGGAAAAATGATTATTATGTGCACTAATGCTCTATAGACAGATATTTGGTTTAAATTAAGCTTTAATCGAATCCCTTTGAAATGATGAAAAATGATTAAACAATAAAAACAAAAATCATTATATGACTTATTAACAAACTTAAAACAAGTGAAATATTTACGTCAACTTAGGCAATAAGAGAATAAAATTACCTATCGAATAATTTACATCAAGTATTACCAGTGGCTTACTCTTACCCTTTCTGTTCCTCTTGGTGATCAAATGGATCATGAAGACGTCATCATCTGGAAGGAAGCATGGGGTACAGTGGACAGCTAGGATTCACCTGGACGAGCTAGACTTCGCAGATAATCTGGCTCTTCTATCTCAAACGCAACAACAAATGCAGGAAAAGACTACCAGTGTAGCAGCAGCCTCAGAAGCAGTAGGTCTCAATATACACGAAGGGAAAAGCAAGATTCTCCAATACAACAGAGCATGAACCAATCCAATCACAATTGACTGAGATGATTTGGAGGATGCAAAATCCTTTACATATTTGGGCAGCATTATTGATGAACACGGTGGATCTAATGCAGGTGTGAAGGCGCGGATCGGCAAAGCAGGGGCAGCATATCTATAACTGAAGAACGTCTGAGACTCAAAACAGTTGGCAACCAACGCCAAAGTCAGAATTTCCAATACAAATGTCAAGACAGTTCCACTGTATGGGACGGAAACTTGGAGAACTACGAAAGCCATCATCCAGAAGGTACAAGTGTTTAATAACAGTTGCCTGCGCAAAATACTTCGGATTCGTTGGCCAGACAATATCGGCAACAACATACTATGAGAGAGAACAAACCAGAGTCAGGAAGAAGCACTGGAAGTGGATAGGACGCACATTGAGGAAAGCACTTAACAGCGTCACAAGGCCTAAGGAGGAGAGAAAGACCAAAAAACATATAACACCGAGAAATAGAAGCAGAAACGAGAAGAATTAACAACAATCGGATAGAAATAGAAAGGGACGTCCAGGATAGAGTGGGTTGGAGGATGCCGGTACGTGGCCTATATTTCATTGACACTAACAGGCGTAAGTAAGTAGTAAGTATTACCAGTGATCACAGTTGAGATGGAAAAACGTTTATGTTAATAGATGACAGTTTAAAAGAATCAACTTCAAATGAAATTAGTTCTTATCAGTGACAGATAAAAAAAATCCAGCAATTAATTATATATTTTCATAATTGAATTCATGAATCATTCAAAACTCAGAAGCACCTGATGTTCTTTTCGTTCTAGTATGGGACTGCTTAGCAGTGCGCACTTAAGATTTTGCACGCAGAAATAAAATCCAGGAACTTTGAACCACAAACGCCTGACCTCTAGATCACTGAGTCGGTCAGAATCCAACTTTATTAATATCTAACTTCAGTAGATCCGTGATATTGCGCAACCCTTCATCCATTGTCTGATATAGATAAGTGTCTTACACCTGACACGGAGTTCTAGTGAGAAACAATGATTCAATTCATGTCGAGTCATGTCATGGTCTAAAGATTAAGTATTCGTGCACGAGACCGAAGGTTTTGCCTTTGATTCTCACTCGCGGAGTCATAAGTACGCACTGGTAAGGAGCCCCATACGAAAACGAAACACTCTTCCAGTGCATCTGAGTTTTCAATAGCGGTTAAACTTAGATCAACTCGTGAATTCAATTAAGAAATACTACAATCTCCACTAATTTCTATACTAATAATTCTATGCGTAATTAGCTCAATTTCTCTAAATCCACTGTTAATGCATATCAATAGTTTATTCATATATATGGTGAATAAACCATATTTCATACTTTCATTTGATTCCATTTAATAATAATACTTATTATTATTATTATTTAGGTATATTCAGACCTTTTGGATACTTTATCAAAACAACAAGCTTGTTTAATTCACAGTTTAAAGTTAAATCCTACGATACATAAAAATATTCATATTGAAAAATGGTACAATTTACAATATACACAAGAAGGTAAACATACGAATAATTTGATTATTTATATTGATGCATTCCTAAAGGTATTATGTAATAATGATAGTCTATATTTGAAGTTATTGACATTTCATGACTGCAGTTTATCAATGTCTGTTTGATAAGTTGGTTGGTATGTTGATTCAGTAGCTTAATGAACAGCTTGTTAACATTGAATGTAACAAGTAATGACTTCAAGTGTCAATATTGACAACAACTCTGCAATATCGGTTTATCTAACTAATGAGTCCTAATTAGAACAAACATGAATTCTAGATTACTCTGTTAGTTACAATCTATCTAATCTAAAATATATGATACTATATCGAGGCAATCCGAACAGGATCCATTTATTCTAACTGAAAGTGATTAAATATTAACAACTGGATAACTCAAACTTTTACCCATGATGATAAATACATCATATTCATTAAATAAATTTGTAGATATTTGAACTAAATAGCTCAGTGAATAATATGTTGGTGCTTGAATTGAAAGGTACTTAGTTAAAATCCCCAACGTAAATATAAACACTAGTATGAAGGCAAATCCAGCTGATGAGTCCTGAACAGGATGAAATGTTCCATCTTAGATCTCACTGCTAGCTAGACAGTCCATCTACTTTAAATTGTTAGTTATGACATCAAAATAAAAAAATTGTGATATTCCTTTTCGTTTTTTTTTTCGTTGAAAAAAATTCTAATTTTTCAGAAGTCTCCACTAAACAAATAGGCTGTTTGAATAATCTCCATGGAACAGTTCCATTCTCACTTCCATTAAAAGTAAATGGGAATGGTATGTTTAAATGATTTATGTAATTTTATCAATAATACATTAAATAAAAATCTTTGATATAATTAGTGAAAATTTAATTCATAATCATGTCGGTGATCTATAATATTGATTTTTTTCTTTAATTATCAAGATCATTCAATCATATTTTATAAGGGAGTGATCATGGTCGTTAAATTACTTGATCATAAATAGTTAATTTTGTATTCTGCAAATTATTGATTCATTAATGTCAAGTACTATTCAGTTTAATGTATATGAATTTGACTATTAGTTAGTGTAAATACTTGCCCTTAGATGCTATGGTACAGTTGAGGGTGGGAAGAGTCCATTCTCCATCTTCAAATGCTCTCACATGACAGCATGTATACAGCCACTTTCATGGAAGTCCTACTCACTGCCTTCTCACGGCAGGGGTGTTGTTTACGAAAAGCAAATGTCCCGTGCTTTATCTGGATGGATACAGAGACTTTACCTAGGAAAGTTGGAAAACGCTGATTGCAAACCAACGGTGGGCATGGGTTCCAGGATCCTTATGGGACAAAAGGTGTATAAACCTATTGTTGGCCACCGGTTACCATGAGACTAAATTTTCTGACGTTCCTACACTAACTTGTGTATCAGACCTTTAGATCGAAGACTCCGGGTATGGCTAGATCAACAAGCCTCCATTGGCATCATTCTCCTGCGTTCTTATATTATACTGTTAAAATTGCAATAGTTCCCCAGATCTAATAAACTTAAAAGGAAAAATATGGTTTCAAAGGGTTGAAAAATACAGTTCAAACAAAGAAAATGTATTTCTTTGAATACTAACGCTTCATGATAACGTAACAATATAATGGATAGTTTTAAATTTAAGTTTTAAAAAATCAGTTGACAACCAAATTTTATTTATTGATGATAATGTTTACCATCAAAAGGGGGTCTTGTGGAGATTTTGGTAATTTTTAATAGTCAAATTAAAGCCAGACCACCATGGAAAACTTGGAAGCACTGGATGGCCATTTTGTCCTAGTATGGGACTCCACAGCAGTATGTATCCACGATCCAGCCTGAGAAATTCAAATAACCCCCTACTGATAGTAATCATCATCTGTTAAATAGTGACTGGCTTCAAGAGGTATTTCCTGGATCTCTAGTGAGAAGCCGTGAGCAATCGAGATCAACCAGGTCTGTTGTGAGATGGTAGTTCACTGGAGACAATAATGGACAGTGGTTCGATTTTGTGGATTCGTTGAAGTTAGACATTCACATCGTTTCATGAGAGCTCAGTGGTCTAGTGGTTAAGCGCTCGCGCACGGAACTGATAGGTCCTGGGTTGGAGTCCAGCGGGGCGGGTTCGTGAATGTGCATTGCTGAGGAGTCTCACTATAGGAAGAAACGGCAATCCACTGCTTCCAGGTTTTCCTTGGTGGTCTAGCTTAAATCAACTCATGAAATCAACTATTATAAAGAATAAAATCTTTCTTTCAAACTTACTGAAATACTGAATAATATATAGAAAATAAAGTGTTTTATGTTCTTTAATCCCATTCAATAAATTAGAACATATTTTTAATGTCAAATTACCAATCAGCTATTAATGAAGAAAGAAGATTATAAATATGATGGTAGCTGTGTTGTCATATGTTAAGTTTATAATGTTTACTGTCTATGTATATTTATATGGAAAATATGGCCAATTAATTTTGGTAATTAAAGAATTCAGTTATTCATATTAGTCAACCTATATTTGTCTTCCATTTATCATATGACTTTGAAACCTCAAATATTCTACTCAGCTTTGTTCAGCATATCAAATGGAGTAACTTGAATAGGAATTAAACTATTTGACGTTTTTATGGATGTTTCTATTATTACCGCTTTAGTGAACGAGAACACAGGTAGGGACAACCTAATGTACGTGAATATAAAAATACAGAATCGATTAATAAAATCTGAGAACCATGCAGTAAATATTTCAATTGTTTTAGACTTGATTGTTCCTTTGTTTCCACTCTAACCACTCTTTATTCTCATTCTGTTCTCTTTAGTCTTCTTAACCTTCAGCCCCCAAGTATTCCACTTTTTATTAATAGTATATACTACTTATATTTATCGACATCAGTAGCATACACCACACTACTACTAACAAATATACTGATAATCACATACTAGAAAATGTTATATAGATCATATTCATATATCACTGTAATATGAGAAATAGAAGGTGTATCATTTGATTTATAATAGTTATCTAATTTATTGTTCATCATTTTAAAGAGGTCTATTTTACTGATTAAATTTATTTTGTTTTAGTGCATGAATACTTGACTTTATCATCAGAAAACGATATACAAGTAAATTATTTTCAATGTAATTGGTTTGTGCAGAGTTTTGAAATTCATACCTTTGGCATTACTAACTGTTTTTATATGAATAACCATTACAAACAAAAAACGATTGAAGAGCTATTTCGTCCTTTGTAGTGAATACGCATGACTCCATTGAGATATCTAGTCCAATATTAATAAAATCTCGTAGTGATCATTTTTTTCTTTAGACTACCAAGTGAACAACCTGTGGTTTACATTGTTTGATTCAATCAATTTACTATACTGTGTAATCGACTTCTAAGCTATTCGTTTTACTATGGAAACATGTCTTTTTTTAAAAAAAAAAGTATAAACCAATATCTTAATTTAATGATATTACAAATTCATTAAAGTGGTTTACAACCTCTTCTATTACTCAATAGGCTAAGATTAATTCATAATGTAAATTATAGAATCCAATAATCTATACATAAGTCCCTCTACATGCCAGCTTTTGCATAATACATATAATTTACAAATTTGTTGATATCTATTCTTTATGAAAAGAACAAAAAAAAAACATATTCCTTTTTTCAGACACCTATCAATCTAACAAAAGAATTTAAAGGAACTGTCTTTGAAGATTATGGATCTCTATGGTATCAACAACTGAATAATCATCTTAAAAATGAAGGTAAACATGTTGTTTGTTTGTTTGTTTGTTTGCTTGTGTTGGTATTAAAATTAGGTTGACACTTTCATCTATTAATTTTTCTTTTTCCATACATATTACTTGAATTACTTATGATTAATTATCTAGTTGTAGTAGTGTGATGTGTGCTACTGATGTTAACAGATATAAATAGTATATATCACCAATCAAAAATGAAATGCCTGGCAATAGGAGGTTGAGAAGATCAAAGAGAAAAAAAATAAGAATAAAGATTGAGTAGTATAGTAATGAAGGGACAATAAAGTCTGAGATAATTGATGAAAATTTTATGAATAAAGTATTTACTGTATAGTTCTCAGATTTTACTAAGAAATTCTGTAATTATGCATCCAAGTACGCTTGATTGTCCTTATTTGTGTTCTCGTTCACTGCAGTATTGATACTAGTAGTAGTAGTAGTACTAGTGTGAGTTTCAGTAGTAGTTAAAACAATACTAAATAAGCATTAAGTTAAATTACAATCATAGTTTTTGCTAATGACTAATTATTGAGATATTTCACAAGTGAAAATAATAATCTGTTGAATGAATAGTGCTAAAAGTGTTATAGTTACTTATCTTGTGATATTGTATATGCATCCCATTTGACATTACTGTTAGGTTTGAAGCTATCACGAGTTCACTTAGACTGTAAACGAAAACTAAGACTCGGTGACCAAAGACCAATAAGCTAGATATTCTGATGCGTTCCAGCCCCTCTAACTAAAGGAAGAAGTCCAAGTTTGGATTGGGGAAGTATATTCTGCCAACAGCCAGAAACGAGCAATAACAACAAACACAATTCAAAACATATATATAGTACAAAACCGTCCTTGGGAAGAGTTACCAAATTGCATACTAAAAGACGCAACGGACCAATAGCATTTAAAATATTTCCCAATGGGAAATACGACATGAAGGTGACAAGAGCGCTATTGGCGTGAAAACAAAGAAATTCAAATTTTCTAAATAAATTATAAAATAAGGTTCTTTTTCAAGTGAATTCTGAGGATCTAACGTCCCCAATAATTACACATAAGCTGACGATGAATAATGTAACTACATAGACAAGAACTTAGTCATTAGTTAGTATCATGACTTTATGTTATATCTACGAGTATATTTGTAATTTTATTAAGATTCTAACCTAAGTCATTAAGTGTCACACTCGGATATAGAATTAAAAGACTATTCGTAATCAAGTTCCAAGAGTTCCAATCAAATGAATTCAGTTACTTAAAAGTCTAAACACTATTCCAGTCAATTTTCATTATTTAACTTGATTGTATTTAGAAAATCATATTACGTAACATATGGATTAATTTACACATATAACTGTTAGTATGTCCTATGTTCTATTTTACGTGTAGCTTACATTTATACACAAATTTCAACGGGAATGGTACTCAACTGCCCTTCAAAGTAAGTAAAATTACTTTTTTTTCTTTCGTTTTCAAAGAGAACGGTCGAAAACATCCTAATCGACAAGCATAAAGTTTATTCTAAAGAGAGTTGTCAATGAATTAAATATGATATATTTATTCATTCAAGCTATAGGATAGTCTATGAGAATCCTTACTTAACATAGATTTTGTGCTAAATAGCACTAATCAGTAAGGTGTGCCCGTAATTTCACGGGAATTAGTGTTCCCTAAAGGATTCTAATCAGTGTCATCCAACTCCCTAATACGAAGCATTATCAGTGAGCTATTCTAGCTGCATGTCTACATATTGAACACTTATAAATCTTTAGAACGTCATCAAAGTAAATACCAACAAAATGTTTTTGGTCATTAATGTTGATAGACTACCATAACTTATTGGGATATTGGATTAGATTTCGTTTCAAGAATCGTTTGGATATCTTCTTGAAATAGCTTTAAATTTTCTCATTTTTAACTATTGTCAAATATAACTTTCAATGATTACTCTAGTCATATAGAATTCGGTGTTGAGACATATTTAATTCACAGAATACAGTTTACTCAATCTGATCTTAATGTTGTTAGTTCATAACAATTACAATTAGTCATATTATCTTCATTTCGTGGAATACAATCTATTCAATCTTCTCAGAATTTATGAGTTGAGGTTAGCAGTGTAATCCAGGATGAGCATTTCATGTTATTTAAGGCTGTGTGTCATTACATCCTAATATTATTATTCACATTGAAACTCCAATCTAATATCTTCTACTTTAAGAGCTAATCAAATATTCTCCACTAATTTACTGAATTCAATCAGATATACACAATTCAAATATGCTTACAGAGACTGATAAAAATTCAATTGTAAACATCAATGACGGAACCTTTAGAACTGTTCTATCTGAAATTATGACTTTTATTTATCTTGCATAATTACTAAGTACTTGAATTACTGTGTCTTTGTATTTGCCAACTTGTAAGCTTTCACGTGATGGATAAACTATTGTCATATGTTATACTTTGCTTCAGTAACTGCGGGTATATAACTCAGTCTTCTCCATTTTATAGGATCATTACGTTCATACTGTAATTTCTTAATCATGTTGATGTGACGTTTTTACTTCAGATTACTGTATGAGTGAGTCATAAACTTGTGCCTTAACACTCGTTGTCTACTTGCTGTAGAGTGTCCTGTCCTGACTTTCAGACAAGCGAGCATCTGCTAAAGCAGTCGTCGTTAGGATTTGTTATAAGCTGTTACCTCACTCTCATTGTATCATTAGTTAGTGTAATGAAGGAGAACGCAGGTGAGGACAACCCATTATTCGGTAAAATAAAAAACCATATACTAATAAATAATTTCCAAAATATTCATTAATTGTATCAAACTTCATTCTTCCTGCATTTCCATACCAATTACTTTCTATTCCTATTCTTCCCTTCTTTATCTTCTCAATCTTCTGCTGCTAGACATTGTATTCCTGACTCATGTTATATACTACTTATTTCAATATAAGTAGCACGCATCACAGTTAGCAGAAGGACATCCTAGATTCCACTGCTAGTCACTGTCCATCTTTGCAACAATAATCTGTTTATTTTTTAGTCAATCGATTAAATCTAAGAAAACTCACACACCCTATTCATTAGGTTTATTTCTTTTATTCTAATGGTATCTATAGTGATCTTAATTAATCATTAGGTATTAAATCAATCCTGTATACAAATATTCTAAGTGATATATCCATCAAATACTATTTTTATTTCTTGATCTTTTCATATTATACTTTTCACTTCACAGAGCATGTTTATCTCGCTTATTACAGTTGAGCATCAAACTTCGATCCTCCAATTGTGAATTATTAACAATGGAATCTAGAATGAAGTAAGTTTACGAAAAATCTAACTCAATTTTAAGAAATTGTGAACAGTTAAAAAAAAGATTTTTCATAAGGAAGTCCTGTTCCTTTGTAAGAGTGATTCTTTAAGTAAAATCACTGAATGTAATTGGTTCCCTTTATGAATTTGAATAAAGCCGGACAACAATTGAGGCAACTACTTATATCCATATGTGTTGAATTTATGAGTTGATCTAAGCTAGACCACCATTGAAAACCTGGAAGCACTGGAAAGCCATTTTGTCCCACTATGGGACTCGTCAGCAGTGAGCATCCACGATCCCACACGCGGGAATCAAAGTCAGGACCGTCAGTTCAGCATGTGAACATCTAACCTTTCGACCACTGAGCTGGTTGGCATTCAACGGTCAATTTCTAACTTCAATGGATCCATGATCTTGCGCAACACTTCGTCCATTGTCTGATGTGGGTAACTGTGTCGTACCCGACACGAATTGGACCCAACTGGTCACGGCTTCTTAGCAATTAAAATTATTACAGTCTCCACAAATCACTATTCTGATAAGCATATATGTAAATGAATACACCCATTAAGACATTAAGTAAGAAAGATTGGTTTAGTGAAGAGTTCTCTTTTTAGTGAATTCATTTTGAAAGCTGTACAATCGCAAATATGCATATAAATATTACTGCACATTAAAGTAAAGCCTGATGAAGATTTAATCGACAACAATATTGTTCGATTATATGTGTTGTTTTAATTCATAATATGGAAATTTTTCAAATTAATTTGTGTATCAAGCGATATTATTAAGTTAAGTGGATATGTAACGGCTGTTCTTCTGGAATTAAATTAAACTAATTTATTTGATTCGTAGGTAGTGTTTTTCACAGATTGAGCTCCTTTGGATTACGAATGGAAAAAACATAGGAGTACCGAACAACATTTTTGCCCTAGTATGAGACTATTCAGTAATATGAATTCAGCACTCTAGTGAGGATCACACACAAGATAATCGGGATCAACAGTGAGTACTTTACCATTAGAACCACTACTTCAGGGTGTTCGTGAAGTTTTAATGAGAATTCGTTGACTGGCTAGGTTAAAATATGTAAAGAGTGGGACAGTTGAAAGTGATCTTGAACGACTACTATGTTTTACTGACTTTCAAAACTACTCCGAATGAGGTCAGTTTGTGATGGACACTATCTACAAATCAAACCCATCACCACAAACCTCTTCTAATAAACAGCTGTTTAAGTCAGGTAGATAGACTAAAAGATGCTGTCTTATTATTCTTTGTTCTACTCAGACTCCAGATTTTTTAGGGCAGCCATTCATTTGTGTCTTACTTCTGTGATAGCATTCAAGACTACTCATCATTACATGTTGACGTTAGCCTAAAAGCTTTTTAAAAATTTTGAGGCATTTTGGAGCTATTTTATTTCTTTTCTTGGCATTTCCCGAAAGTTCAAATTAATCACCTGAGATTACGATAATTTTAAACTGAGTCATAAACCGATCGTCAATATTCTGTTCTTACCTTAGAAAATTTGGTGATATATTGCATTAATAATCTATAGGTTTCCTATCTTAATAATATTCTCATAATTATAAATGACTGACTTTAAGTTGAACTTCGAAAGCTCTGTTAAAATGAAGTGACTTATGACGTTCACTAAAGTGGGAAATAAGACCTACAACAGTGTTGGAGTTCACTTTGAGAAGCGAAACCAGTATCATTCTTTTCAAACTCACTATGGATTATCCATCAAACTACTGAGTTTGGATAGTTTTTGATGGTGTTTTTGTCCTATGAGCTGGATCTTTTGGTCCTGGAGCTTTCATTGTTCTTCTGAACGACATCATCAGCACAAACTTCAGATAGAAGTAAAGTGTTCGAATTCCTCCACATGTGGTTCACAGCTTGTCCTGTAGACCTCGAAGTTGATTGGTTCTTGTTGACTCTAAACCTGTTATTGTTTAGATAGTCGTTAGCTAGCGCAATGGACATATACTATTTTGACAATTTCATGACTGATGTTCATGCCAAATCACTTCTTTTTAAAATCGAACATCTTTTAATCTCAAAAATTAATTAGATTGATTTACTTACCTATTTGATTGTTTTAATTTACTTTTAAAAGAAGTTCAGTGAATACAAATGTAAATGGACCGGAATTTATTATTAAAGGACCATGTGAAAAGATTTCGGTAAGTATTAAGATTCAATTTTTCTTTCAAACTGTTTAAGCATTAAAAACTTGTTAAAGATTTGTCCGTCGCGAGATAGTAATTCACTGAAGACAATGGTGGATGTGTCGCTCAGTTTCGTGGATTGGTTGAAGTTAGACAATAACACTGTTGGATGAGGACTTAGTGGTCTAAATGTTAAGCGTTCGCGATCGGGATCATGGTTGCGCACTTCTGAGGAGTCTCAAAATAAGACGAAACGGCCGTTCATTGCTTCCAGGTTTTTACTGATGGTCTAACATTAATGATCTCAATCAGAAACTTGTAATTTAGCAGATTTGAATAGAGGATTTTTAATAGGATTTGACTAGTATATCATTTAATTCTTATGATAATATATGATAGTTAGAGTATCGACGTTGGAAGTATTCCTAAATTAACATGAAATGAGTATATTTTTTTTTAATTGATCATTTCATCTTTAAAGCATTTTATGCAAAATATTATTGAAAACGGAACACAGAGTACTGCATGATTAGCATTAGATAATACATAGACGATCACAGTCATACCCTCATATTAAGCAGAACAAATGATTTTCAACACTCTCAGTAATCATAATACCGTTCGACGACTTAATCTTGGCTAAGGATATGTGGGGAGTCTGAAATCCAACAAGGCAGTTGTCGTAAGCTATCTGGTTTTTCATGACTATCTGTTATAACGTTAAATCTGAATGATAAATAGTGTGATACTTAAACTCAATGATTTGACGATTCAATGAAGAACTAGATATATTTAGCAACGCAAAGGTACAAGGGCTGAAGTACATATATTATACTGTAACTAGTTATGTGTAATATATCAAATATATCTGTTTGAACTCCTTGAACAAGTATAAGTCATTCTGGTTGGATATATTAATCTTCAGTTTATATCACTTTATGAAGAAGATTATCTTTGAGTACCTACTGAAGTCTTAACCACGACGTTTTTCATTTTCTCACATTACAAGCATTCAGACCCGATTCAGTTATTTTTATTACTGATAAAAATCAGATGGAAAAAATTTGTAGACCATAGCGAATCATATATCGATTTCCTCCAACGCTCAGACTGTAAAACAGTGTACACCTATGATTATATACATACCGGCACTTACAGCTTTAGGGTCTCTTAATTAACGTAATACTCATTTTTGTTATAAGGCAGTAATGAAGATAAAATTAATTCTAGCTATACAATCAATCAAAACCAGGAAGCACTGAACACATGGTTCGTTCTATTGTAACATTATTGACAATCGAAATTAGAACCTTTAAATCTATCGATATGCTCTTTTACTTCAGATCACTTTGTTGTCATTTAACTTTCATCATCTTATAATTTACTATAATCTAACTTTAAGAAATTCATTATATAGATTAATTCAATAACTAAATAATATCACTATTCATATCTATCTTGTTATCAACAGAATTGATAATGATAACTTGACAATAAAACTTCATAAATCTTTCTCTATAAAAAATCGATTAGAGTTTCTTTAAAAAAAATCCTTTCCTGTTATGTTAAGCATATAAACTCTCAACCTCTACTACATACTACTTATATTGGTCTGTATAAGTAGAGCACACCATTCTTTCATTCTTTTTTGTTAATTCATATATAAAGTTTTACTATGATAAATATTGCAGTATATATTGTAATGATATATATATATATATATATATATATATATATATATATATATATGTATATATTAACAAACCATATGATGATACAAATATATTCCAATCATTCATTGATATCATAAAGACATGATATTTGAAAAGAAAATTGATCTAAAATATCAACGAATTATTGATTTTGTCTCAAGATTATCTATGAATAGATACATGTCAATGTCGATCTAATTGTAAAGATCCATTATCATACAAGGTGTATATAATCAATCATATTAAAATATTTATGCCAAAAATAAGTAATATATTATCAATTTATTATTGTATGTCTATTAAATCTTGTATAAAAATGTAGTTTATAGAAAGGAAAAAAAAAAGAACAAATCAGTTTTTATAGTTTGTAGTAGTACGATTTTTTTTCTTAATAATTTTTAGTGAAATGATCAGATCTTCTAATATTGATTCAGTTTTACTGATTAGCGCAAATAGATTAGTTTACTTACTTACTTACGTCTGTTACTCCCAATGAAGCATAGGCCGCTGAACAGCATTCTACAACCCACTCTCTCCTAAGCCTTCCTTTCTAGTTCTATCCGATTTCCATTCATTTTGTTCTTATGTCTGTCTCCATTTCTTGGTCTAATGTGTTCTTTGGTCTTCCTCTTTACTTTTGGTCTTGAGGATTCCATGTGAGGGCTTGCCTTGTGACGTAGTTAGATGCTTTTCTCAATGTGTGCCCTATCTACTTCCAGTGCTTCTTCTTGATACCTTCCTCCACTGGAATCTGGTTTGTTTCTCTCTCACAATGGGTTGTTGCTGATAATGTCTGCCCAACGGATCCGAAGTATTTTGCTTAGACAAGTGTTATTAAAAGCTTGTATCTTGTGGATGATGGTTTTCGTAGTTCTCTACGTTTCCGCACAGTACAGTAGAATTGTCTTGCCATTTGAACTGAAAGTTCTGACTTCGGTGTTGATTGACAATTGTTTTGAGTTCCAGATGTTCTTTAGTTGTAGATATACTGCTCTTGCTTTGCCTTTTCTCACCTTCACATCTGAATTAGATTCACCGTGTTCATCAATGATGCTGCTCAGATATGTAAAGGATTTTATATCTTCCAAATCTTCTCCTTCAAGTGTGATTCGATTGGTGCATAATATGTTGTATCCAAGAATCTTGCTTTTCCCTTTGTTTAACCAATAGCTAAGATTACTATTGATGAATTAGCTTTAAAGTTGGCCAAGGAAGAAGAAACGATTGAAGATATTTCATTTGTACTCATAGTTCCAGTTTCTTCAAGTATTCTTAAATATTTCAATAATCAATAATTTCTTTGTTTTAATCTTTATTTTAAAATGTTATATTTCTTTCTTTTTTCAGAATTACTATAAAGAATTTTTAAAAAGTGTAAATGATGATATAACTAAAGAACATTTTATAAAATGTAAAAAATTATTAATTGAACAATTAAATAATCAATTATCTGATCCAAATTTAGTTGCTAAGTAAGTACACATTTTTTGCTACAAGGCAATTTTGTATCTGAGGATTGTTTTCATAATAGTTTGATGATATTATTTATTATTAATCAATTGCATTGTTAGGTCTTTTAAAATTACTTCATGTATGATGGACAGTTGATAGATACATTCCAAGTGAGGACCGGTGTCAGAATAGGCTGTCTACTTTTAATATTTCTCTTCCTTCTGGTGGTTGATTGGATTATGATGACCTTGACATCTCAGGGGAAGTATGGAATACAATAGACAGGTTGAATACAATCAGACAATTTGAACTTCATTAATGATCTGACCTTTCTCACCCATACACACGATCAAATACAGATAAAGACAACTGGCGTAGCAGCATTGGCAGCCTCTGAATCAGTAGGCCTCAGTATACACAAAGGAAAAAGCATGATCCCCAGATACAACATGGAGAACACCAACTCAATCACACTTGATGGAGAAATTTTGGAAGAGTTGGAAACGTTCACGTACCTGCGAATGATCATCGATGAACAAGGAGAATCTTATGCAGACGTAAAGGCAAGGATTAACAAATCAAAAACAGCACTCCTACAATTCAAGAACATATGGAACTCAAAACAACTGTCAATCAATATCAAAGTCAGAATCTTCAATACAAACAAATGGATGAATAAACATATTTGGCAAAATCGAATCAAGAATAGACATCCCATATGGGTTGAGTTTCCTTATTTTATTTAAATAAACTGTAATTTAGAAAATAGTCATTTTAAATTTGTTTAAAAACTTTCGCTTATTGGTGACTTTACATCAATATTACAGATCATCGATTGACTAACAATTACATTTACCGTTTCTAGTTCTATCATTAATAATATTATTATAGATGAAGACGATGGGTAACAGGAATATATTTTTACTGCAATTAGTTACAAAGTATTTACATAATACATATACATAATCTCCAATCATATATTTGAATTTTTCAGTTTGTTCTGTATTCTAAATCATCTTCTCGTGTGATCTTCACATTTTCTGACAACGCTACACTTTCAATGTACTGAAACTCTTCAGTTCATATGAAAATTGCTGCAATTCGATGCCACATTACTTACAAATAATCCTGTGACTGCCCCCAAATGCCCTGGTACGGTCGAGGGTGGGGAGAGTTCACTCTCCCTCTTCATATGCTCTCACATGGCCATGTGCATACAACCACTACCACGGAAGTCTTACTCACTGCTTTCTCGTGGTGGCGAAGTGCTGTTTGTGAAATTGAGAAAACGAAAATCGAAAATCCGGAGCTTTAACCAGGATGGTAGATAGGAGAATCTACCTAAGGGAGTTGAAAACCCTCATTCCAAACCAGTGGTGCACATGGGCTCCAGGATCTTGAGAGAGCATTTGGCGTGTGTACCTGATGTCATTCCACTGACTTGTGGATCAGACTTTTAGGTCGAAGGCTCTGGATGTGACCCCTTAAGAAAACCACCTACTTCGGTTTCGGCACCCGGTCAGTATCCCAGCCCTCACACAAATCGAATGATTTTGTGCCTCTTTGTACCATTGTTTATGTGTTCAAATAAATAAATAATCTTGTAACTAAAGTTCACTACATTAAAACAGTTTTAAACCTGCAGAATTACAATTATGTTGTATAATTTACAAAATACATTTTATCTATCTCTCTCTCTATATATTTTTAGTAATATAAATTCATGTTTATGGTATCCAAATGAATATACTGCCAGTAGTTTATTAAATTCATTAGAATACATTACAATAGCTGACTTAATGGCATTTCAAACTAAATATTTTTATCAAATGGAAATTATCATGTATATTGTTGGTGATGTAACATGTGATGTAAGTAAAACAGTTAAATGTATTGAATTATAATATAAGTAGTATAATACTTAGTTTTAATTAAATGTTTTACTCACTGATTGACCGTATATTTTACCAATTCGGTCAGATACATTTATCTTTGTACCTGTCCATATTCATTAGTAAGATTTTAGTGACCCGGGATCTGACTTTAGTTTAATCGTTTCTGATTACTATTGAGATATACATATCATCATTCCTCGTATATAATTATCGACTTAGATCACGTTAGTGAATAACAGGATTAGACAAGTCAAATAAGAGAATGGATTTTCAAATACATATATCTTGTAAAATCGTTGATCTGAATAGATAAGCATAGAGACGTATCGAAGGAAGCAAAGAAGAGAGAGCGAAACGACATGCAGTGGAAAGGGCATGTCATCCAACTCCATTTTTAAAAACCCTATAAAAGTAACTTCCCTTCTTATATGACTACAGAATTAAATAGATTGACATTAGTTTACAATCCGTTTTTTCTGTATGGTAATTAGTGGTTATTAAAAATATTAAAGACATCATTTTAAACATCACTCATGAGTATTACACATCACTTGAAAGCTCATTTCCAATATTCAGGATCATGTCACTCATCTTATAATGCGAATATAAAACCAGAAGATATCACATGAAGTTCTTTGATGAATATAGATAAGCAGAAAATACTGTGTCTCAGCTTCGTAACAACTGCCATTGCTTGTAAATGTTAAAATCAGTTACATTCATCATTGATCCTAGTGCCGTTAAATAACAATACTTTCAAAATTCAGTGTAAATTAGTCTAAGATATGTATTCTTTACTGTTTGCATTACAGAAGACTGTAAAAATGACCAGGATCAGGAGCATAATATTCAGGTTTCTTTGATGCTAGTGTTAATTTCTTTGAACAAAGTTATGCGAATATATGATTAAAACATATATACTACTTGATAGTTGATTCAGTACTATAAGTATCATACTAACACCACCGTAATTTTACTCTGTTTTAGCTGGCAAAGGATTTATTTACCTACACAATAGGTTTCTTCAAGTGTCACCCAAAACCTAAAGGGAGTAAACACGTAAGATTTCGGTTTATAACAACATTTTTTGGTTAAAAGTATATACTACTGAATATTATCTTCAGATAGATAAGTAGTAGAAATTTGAGTTAGTTTGTTTGGACCTACTTAAAAATGCGCTTTCATAACCACAAATAATGATAGGCACAAGGTTTTCAGTACAGATATGATTATAAGCAGCTGTTGAGAGAAAATATCCTTAAGTTGAATTCAACCAAACAAATACATGGTATCTATGATACAACGATCAAGCAATACCGTTGATGATATCCGCATTATTTTCGTAACAATGAATATAAAATATCTTCTTAAAACTCTCCATTGACATCCACCCAATGTTATATTGTGTTGTAAACTTATATCCAGACGAAGAATAAATGAATGGTAGCTCCTAGGATCTAATATATCCGCTGTTATTATATATATAACTTCGCATTTGACCTATTTACGACTTTGATACAATTTACTATTATTAACTTATTCTCAATCTAGTAGTTACAGTCTATCACAATCAAAGACACTTTTTGGCTTGAACTTATACAAATGTTATCTTCTATTTTACGGCATGAGGAGAACTGATTTACTTGTATGTGAACTACCTAGCTCTGAAATTCATAATTCATATAACGGAAACTGATATTAGTGTTCTGAACTGGACCGGTCGGAGTAGACGAGAAGTTACTATCTCGTCAGAGGACCAATAATATGTCAGAGTTAACTTTGGACTGTTCATACTGGTTTATACGTGTATGATCTGGACACTAATTCGATTTTTTCATTGGTGACTTTTATCACGTGATATATTCTTTGGGCATAAAGCCATAACATAAACAATCTTTAAACTGTATAATCCTCGATGAACCTCTACAATACTACTCAAAATTTATCTATAACTGTGTAATAAATCACAGAGAATTGTTATAGATTCCAAGAAATAAACATAAACTATTTTATTTAATAGTTGAATTCATGAGTCAATTAGAGCTAGATCACTATGTAAAACCTGGAAGCACTAAACAGCCATTTCGTCCCAGTATGGGACTCCTCAGCAGTGTGCATCCACGATCCCGCTTGCAGGAAGGTGGAGTAATTTCGTGGATTGTTTGGGGTTAGACGTCAGCACTGCTCGATGCCGGATCAACCTCCTAAGGGTGAAGCGGTTGCTCGCAAGACCGATAGGTCCTGGGTTCGAATCCCACCCGCGTTATCATGAGCGAGTGCTATTGAGGAGTCCCATGCTGGAACGAAACGGCTGTCCAGTGCTTCCAGGTTTCCCATAGTGGTCGAGTTTCGATTGACTCATGAATTCAACTATTAAATTACTAAAATCCCTACAAAATCCCTTTTAATAAATTAATTATTTTTAAATTACAATCTTGAATTTAATTTTATTATTTGTCAAAAACAATTCTGTAGAAAAAGCTAACTACTAATGAGGTATGGCAACTTGGACCGATGTATATATGTGCTTGGTACTACGTTGTAAATGACTAACTGACTGACTAAATAGACTATATTGGACTTAATGTTATTCGAGTTTAAATACAATTCGACGCATTGAGATGGTTTAACTAAGGCATAGACTTGAGGAATTTCTATCAATAATGGTAATGGGTGAAAATAAAGTTTTCATTAAATTTGTCACATCTTACAATGACACAATAAGAGAGGAGATAATCAAGCCATGTAACATGAAAAAAAGGAAGTAAAATATGAGAAATATATCAAAAGAAGTGAATAGGAAAGAAGAATTAAAAAGGAAAGAATAATATCTAGTTATACTAAGTAATACTAAACGTTTAAGATATGCTTCGAGAAGACATAGTGGAATTTTACGTATGAAGAAATACTGAGATTCAAGATTCAGAGGAAGATAAAGAATGAATTAATTTCTACTCTTTTGAGTGATTCTGATTCAGGTCACACAATATATTTAACCATTTAAAGCAATTATTATGTTGGCTTACTTACTTACGTACGCCTGTTACTTCTAATGGAGCATAAGCCGCCGACCAGCACTCTCCAACCCACTCTGTCCTGGGCCTTCTTTTCTAGTTCCATCCAATTCTTGTTCATTTTTCTCATGTCTATTTCCATTTCCCGGCGTAATGTGTTCTTTGGTCTTCCTCTCCTCCTTCGACCTTGAGGATTCCATGTGAGGGCTTGTCTTGTGACATAGTTGGGTGCTTTCCTCAATGATCATGCTGGCACTAACAAGCTAATCTGTATCTACCAATATGGCTCAGCCAGATGGTTGATGACTTTACAAATTGATGTCATATTTTAGTTTGTCCACTCAACCCACTAGCGTCCTTCCAAGTTACTTCTGCACCATCTAATACCTCTTATTGTTATAGGAGACAGCTAGGCATAAATAATACATGGCCTAACTGCCCCTGTAGTGAACAGAACACCAGTGGAGACAATCGAAAGTATTTGAACGCAAAATTACGGAGCATCTCAATAAAATCTGCGAACCATATACTAAATCGTTAATTTGCAAAATATCAATCCATCATATCAAACTTGACTGTTCCTGTTGCAAACATCAATCTATTGTCTCAGATTTTATTGTTCATACGTTTTCATACCAATTGCGTTCCGTTCTCGTTCTTTCCTCATCGATCTTCTACTGAAATACATTCTATCCCTAACCACCGTTATATAATACTTGTATGGATATAAGTAACCCACACCTTACCCCAATCAATGAAGAGGCACTATCTCATCAACCATTATCCAGTAGTGTCATGATATTTCTTATTAGGGCTCATCGACTATTATTGATTGGTATTCTTGGAGACTACTTTACTCGACAAATCCACGAATAAGAACATGGTTGAACAGGAACGTAATTATAGTCAGAATAACAAGGTTGTATAAAATTAGGAATCACAATACGAAAAACGTCAGTATATTTATAATTTTTACTTGTGAAGATTCTAGAGTCCTCTTCAGTTATCCTCTAGCTCTGACTCCTTAAGAAATAGTCAATCAATGTGCCTCAACTTTAATTCAATCTATATCCCGCTAACAAATACCCTAAACCAAAGCTCAACAGAAAATTCAAAATTATCTTCCTTCTTCTTCTATCAAACTTGTGTACAAATTACAGATTTTATACTTTTAATTTAATTAAAGATTTGGGTTAACATATAAGCAATATATGTTAATTTATTGTGTATTATTTCATCAGTTTCATTCATGAAACTCTTCGTCCAACGGTATATTTCATAGAAAATAACTATGATGGAAAAGCACTACCAATTAGTCGTTACATATTTCAAAATTTCAACATTTGATTGATGATAGATGCATCTTAGCATAAATTTAATACTTTGATCATTACCAATATATGATAGGCAGTTGGAAGCGATAGACGGACATTCTCATGACGAAAGTTTTATCAAAATAAAAAAAGATCTAAATTAAATCACCATTGAACTACCGTTTTGTCCCAGTATTGAACTCCACAATAGTATCCACTTATGACCTCATCGAGGGTTGAGCTCAGGACCTTTGGTCTCGCTCACAAAAGTTACCAGGTTTTTAATTGTTATCTAACTTGAATCAGCTTTTGATTTTAATGACATTCAACATTCTTCACAACTTCATACTGAAATTTGAAATATTGAGATAAGTAATTCTTACTTTGACTAAAACATTGAGTAACACAAAAAGTACCCGTACTCTCTATATTCCAAATATATCTCCACACTGTAACTTAACTGATCAATACAATGAACTCGATCAATGTAAGACTGTTAAATGATCATTAAATAGTCATTGTAACTATTCATGTACAAAATACAACATTATTAATTATTGATATATATTAATCATTTAATCAAATTTATTTAACAGATTGAGTATATATCAATTCAACCTGGCATTTATTATCATTCTGTACCGAATATATCAAATAATGAAAAGTTTCATCAAATTATTCAATTTGAACGAATTGAACAAGCTTCATCAGTAGATGAATTTTATTGTCAAATAATAACGGTAAGTTCCTTGAAATAGAAAAAGAAAACTTTTGACATTTATTTTTTATTTTAATTTAATTTATTTAATTATATGATATACTCAAACTAATTAATTCAACTATATTACAGTATGGGCATCAGTTTGCACTTACCCCCAAATGCACTGGTACGGTCAAGGGCGGGGAGAGTTCTCTTTCCCTTTCTAAATGTTTTTACATGGACACGCATATACAGCCACTTCCAAAAAAGTTCTACCCATTGCCTTCTCGTGGTGGGGGTGTTGTTTACAAAATTGAAAGGATGAAAAGCGAATATCCGACTCTTTAACAAGTTGGTGGATATAATGGATCCGCCAAAAGGAGTTGAAAAACCCTGAATCCGAACCAATGGTGTATATAGGCTCCTGGATTCTGATGGAACAAAAGGTGTATGAACCTATTGTTGGCCAACGGTTGTCATGGGACTGCATCTCCTGACGTTGAACCACTGCCTTGTGGATCAGACCTTTAGGTCTAAATCCCCGGGATTGGCCCCCTAAGAAGACTTGTCAAAAGTGAGAAAATATCCCATGATTAAACTAACGATGAAATTGCATTCTGAATACGATGATGTTACATACACAGAGCTTTATGATCTGTTATAGTTATCTCAAAGTATTGTGTTTTGCATGAGTTTTGCACGTCAATGATACCTGAATTCACTTAGAGGGATTGAAAAACTAATTTAAAACTAGTGTCCAATTGATCAAAATGCTTGACTAAACACTATCCGGAAAGCATAGCAAAAATTTTTCACCGTTTAAACATTTCATAAACACAAAATACTTCCAGTACTTTTATAAAACTCAACTAGATTTATTTCTTCATTGTTTGAACAATTTCACTTATAACAATACACTACTGATTATTACTCAGTAGAATAGTTTTTGTTCAACCAATTCTAGAATTCATATGATCATCCATTACACTGAACAATTACAACAAACTACATATTCAATCTATCCATGCTCTAATTCGATCATTCCACTTCACTTTTCTACTTGTGTCGGCATTTTATCCCCCCCCCAGATTCACATATATAGATATGTTTCGAATTTAACCTTTTTTTTAAATCATAATTTTAAGTCTTCTTTAAATTCAATGAATAGGAATTACTGAAATCACATGCAAAGCAATACTTTCAACATTATGAATCAGTGAATGGTCCAGTTTCATTAGATTTCTATAAGTTTGCATCGAATTCATCTAATCTAACAATTGGGACACGTTTATCTCTGAATAGTCAATTAAATAAACATGATGAAGATTATCATATAAATTGTATTCAAGTATTTTGGAATGAAATTGCACCACGTGTTATTGCTTGTATTGATAATAATAATCTTGAACAAATTGTAAGTATTTTTTGTGAACAATAATATGTATATACATGTTGATAAGCCAATTATAGGTACACTATCAAGATAAGTTTAGAACATGAATTTCTATAGTTGGGTCGTATTGAGTAGAAAGAGGAAAGTAATTCATCTTTTTTATCCTTAAGGATTAGGTGATTATGTTTTACTGATACAATAGGTGAGGAACTACTTCAGCATTGACAAACTCTTATGCATTGCATAGGCATTGTCAGTCAGTCAGTCAGTAACAACGTGGAACTTCGTACGTACCAACATCAGTTCGAGTTGCCATACCACATTAGCACAGAGATTCAGTTATCGATTCAAATCCCATAGTGGTAGAGGTACTGAAAGTATAAGTAGAGATAGGGGACATTAAGGTTTGATGATGTTATTAAAGGAGTATAGTCCAGTGGAATAAATTGGGAAATAAAATAAAGGACATGAAGAATTCAGAAGATTAGAGTTTGAGAGAGCACAAAGAGTGGATGCACCTGCGCCATTGCAAACGATTTTGAGCCGTGTCATTCAAGGTCTCTAACCATCGGTTGCTATCATCTCGCGGTCCCCAACCAAGTAGTCTACACCTACCAACATGACTCAGTCCACTTGTCAGTGACTTCATGGATTTGTGCCATGTTTTGGTCTGGCCGCCCCTACCTTTCTTCCAACCTACTCCTACACCATAAAACATAGCACGTCGGGGCAGTCGGTGGTCGGGCATGCGCAACACATGTCCCAGCCATCTCAAATGATTGAGTTTCACTACTTCATCAATTGATTTTCCATCCTTACCTAGTACCCGTTTCCTAACAACTGAGTTACTTACTCGGTGGTCCCAGGATATACGAACTTAAATCCGAACCTTGCATGCGAAGATGATTCGTCTAACTTCTGATCCTTCCTTTCGTAGAAAAGAACATTTTCTTCTCTGAATTCTCTTTATTTTTATTTAATGACATAATGCGTTATATTAAGATTAGAACAATTAAAGTTCAACTATTGAGTAACTTTGAACCAATAATTCAAAGTTTGGTTTATATAGACGATTAGAAAATATATCCGAGGTTAAACTATGAAAGATTTAATCGACCATTAAAATATATGTACAACGTGATAACAATATTTTTCAGTATGAGTAAAGATGGATGGTAGGTAGCAGTGGAATTCAGGACGCGCGTTTCGTCCTATTTGAGACTTTTCAGCTGACATATGCCACATATGCCAATAAGAGACTGATCAATTGGAAGATTCAAGTAAACAATACTAATGTGTGGACGAGAATGATAATAATTGGTTGTTTGTTTATTCAGACTTGTAGATAGTCTGATAGGAGTTAAATGAGTTATAAATTCTCCTATCCTTATTATTATTGGATTGTGTTGACTTGTTGTCGGTTTTGGCTGTGGAAATATATTTATGTTCTAGTCAGGCTAATCAAATGTTCTTGATCTGAGTTGTGTTCAAGTTCTTTAGTATAGGCACTCGGAGGGAATCTAGTGTACATATTCGTCTAATAAAAATTAACATCCCATTCGTAAAGAGAAAGAAAATCCGACCGTTATAACAAATATCAAGTGATTTTAAACTTCACCCCGTTGCACAATTAAGTGACTCTCGGGAATCAGTAGGTAAGTGGATAACGCGGTCTCTTTTGAAGAGAGCCGTACTGGGTCCAAGTTGTGGAGTGAACATTAACTCAGAGATGCAGGTACATCCAGCTGATGAGTTCCAAATAGGACGAAACGCTCATCCTGGATCCCACTACTAGCTATTATTCATCTTTGCTCAGAATGTTTGTGAAATAAGACAATATCAAGACAATCCTCACAGAATGTTTATATATCAATAAGAGACTGATCGATTGCAGTCCTAAATATCTATGTAAATTTAATTATACTTGAAGCTTTTCTTGATAATCATTCTTTGTTCTTTATTGTTTATTTAGTGCAATACAATAATATCAAGTGACTTAGTCAAAAATAATAATCTCGAATTAATATCTCAATTTTACTGGGATAAAATTAAAACAAATTTGTTAGATGGAGGAATAAGTAGAAAGGTTAGTTTGACTAGTGATTACATAATTTCTGATTGACCAATTGAGATTAGAATAATTTTCATATAAATGGTTGCTTAATTCACTAATATACATTCACATAGTCATTTGGTTAGTTGTTTTCTATTAGTATTTCTGAGCTCTTTGAGCTAGATAATTTAAGTGAGGAGCTTTCATTATTATTGTGACTTTATGGTCGGCTTTTTATCATTTGATTTATCCGCCAATCGGAATACGATTTATACAATCTTAACACTGTATCAAACCAATGATATTCGACCAATATGACTAGCGTAGCTTCTTTATTGTTCCTTTGTTTTTCAAACCCTTCCAGTTGAGTCCAGAATGTTAATATCAGTCCGCACTATGCGAATTATTTATTCCAAACATACTTGGTTTATATACCAGTCAAACAGACCCAAATGCATCATAAAATACGAAATAATATTTATACACAATAAAACCGAAATGTGGCTGTAGACGTGGAAGATGGTAATCAATAAACTGAACATAACTTAAGAACAGTAAATCGTATCATAATAATCTATAAGTCAAAATGAAGCTCAGAATAAGATGAATATAAATATACACAATCTAATTACTGAATAGTTATACCCTAAGTATATATATAGATAATATTAGTCCATTTAATAGGTCTCAGAAGTTACTCGTAATTTAACCTTTGCTAGGATATAACAATTGTCATTTTGTATATTTTCAGCGCTTAATTCATATAAAAGTGGACTTTCTAGTTATTTTACAAATATTATATTGTATCATTTTGATAGCCTTATTCATGATTGATTATCTACATTTACTTTTAGATATACGTTGATTATCTGTATTGGTTTACTTTTGGTTTTGTAATTGATTGTGTATGATATTGATTGTTTATTGTTATCAGTAAATGATTTGATTGGACTTTGGATGTTGATTGCTAAAATGAAACTATCATTGCTGTAGCATTATTCATTATGAAACTTTATCAGAACAATAGATTATGGTGTGTAATATTCATTGACTTTAACAAATCCCTTACCCCCTTCACTCATATACCAATTTTAATAATATCAGCTTATTCACCTACTCGTAACAGTAATTTTCATTACTCGTTATTTATTTTCATCAATTATTTATACTCTTAGTTGATACAATTGCTTGTGATGGAGTTTTGTTCTTTGAGCTGAACGATTCGGTTGTAGAACTTTCATCGTTCTTCTGAATGATATCATTAGCACAAACTTCAGGTAGAAGTGTGTGTGTGTGTTACATCGGATTCCAATAAATATTCCTATTTAGAAACAATTAATATGAATTAAGTTAAGAATATTGTTTTCAATTAAATCATTTTCATGTCTCTGGCGTGTTCTTACAATCTGAGAATATATCACGTGATAAAAGTCGCCAATGAAAACATCGAACTAGTCACAATTGATTGATCACTGGCTGACCAATGTCATGCGTGTCTAGTCCTTATTATTAGTGGAGATCGAATGCTATTGATCATGTTGCAGTGTGGCCACCAGTCTAGGTGACTCGACACCGCGGGCACTATTGTAAGGTTAGATGGTGGTTGGAGGTAGTCGACAGGAAACCCTGGACCCGGGTTTCGTGCTACTTGGCACTCGTCAGCAAGGTGTACCTGTAATCTTTGAAGGAAATGGTGCTCCCTGGCGGATTCGATCCCGTGTCACCCAGCTTCACAGTCAGAGACGTTACCACTGAGCTATTCGGGCCGCGATCGACCTCCTGTAGGATTGAATGTAATCACAATTGATTGATCACTGGGTGACCAATATTATGCGTGCCAAGTAGCACGAAACCCGGGTCCAGGGTTTCCTGTCGGCTACCTCCAACCACCATCTAATCTTACATCGAATTAGTGTCTAGACCATAGACGTATAAACCAGTATGAACAGTCCAAAGTTAACTCTGACATATTATTGGTCCTCTGACGAGATAGTAACTTCTCGTCTAATCCGACCGGTCCAGTTCAGAACACTAATATCAGTTTCCGTTATATGAATTATGTATTTCAGAGCTAGGTAGTTCACATACAAGTAAATCAGTTCTCCTCATGCCGTAAAATAGAAGATAACATTTGTATAAGTTCAAGCCAAAAAGTGTCTTTGATTGTGATAGACTGTAACTACTAGATTGAGAATAAGTTAATAATAGTAAATTGTATCAAAGTCGTAAATAGGTCAAATGGGATTTTATAATAAATGAATATGAATAGACACATAATATAGTTACTTAATGGTTATATAATAAAAATATATATATAATAACAGTGGATATATTAGATCCTAGGAGCTATCATCCATTTATTCTTCGTTAGTATATAACAGTCTCTACATTGATATTATGTTTACTGGACGATTATTGATGATGTTTTTCTTTACGTTGTAATTTGTTTGTAGAATGTTTTTGGATTTCGGCTCTCTTATATTCCACTATTTGTGGATTGTAAACTTATGAGTGTTTTCTATGTTTTCTTCATATCTATCATTCTCTTTAAACGTCTATTTTTACTGGTTGAGGAGCTTTGTTGAGTTTCTCCCTCCAACAGATTGACCATGAACGTTCTTATCTTTCGATTAACTAGCAATATAAGTAAAGAAAATGAAGCTTTTAGGATAACTTTTATTATAAAAACCCAAATAATCTTATTTGTAAGTTTTGTCTATGTATAATTTTCCTAGATATGAACCCTTGAATGATGATTTTGACAGATTGAATATTTAATCTATTCACAATAACTATCTCAAACCTGTTTCTTACTTTTTTGTAACCTTGACACAGTTTATGCTTTACCAACTATGCTAGTTTCTGTATATAACATTGTCACTGGGACATTGTAAAGCATTAGATCATTGCTAACATTAATGAATTTGCCTGTCGTGTAAGCGATATACGTCAACTTTGGCCTGTTCATGCTGCGCATAAATGATTGACGCAGTCAATGATCAGAATAATTATACATTTGATGTAAATGTATATATTAATGATGCAAGTAGTCCACCAGGGTGCTAGATACCTGTGTGGTTGAGCTACAGGATTGAACTGTACTATGCAGATTATAGCGTTAAAGCCTACATGATGTCTGGCTCACCTGCGAAACGGGATAGAGCTGTACTGTTTGATTTGTCACGTGAAAGTCTAGATGATGTCCCGTTCTCCAGAAAATCAATGTAAAATTACCCTAACCCACAAGGGTATATTATAGAACTGTGAATATGTATCAATGTTTAAATTTTTGGATGATTTCATCCTAGAAACATCATATACATTATTTGTGGTTACTAATATGTAACTACAAATTTCCCTCTCTTTTTTTCTTTCTTTTCATTAAACAAATTACAGAATATGCTAAAAAGAGAAATGAACCGAGAGAAATTACTAGAATATTTTCATAAAACCTATTTAAATCCTACGAAGAAAATTACCATATTTATTGATGTAAGTTGTACCAGTGATATTTTTATCATGGAAGAAGGGTAATATCTAATTAAACGAATGTCAAGGCATATTCTAGGCTTAAGTTTTATTTGATTTTCTATTGGTTAATAAACTAAATCTTTAAAATTGTGAAAGTTAATGCCCCCCCCCTTCGACTAGAACTTGTATTAATGAGAGTCAAAATTAGAAACATAAGTTGGGTAAAATATTTCAGTAGTGTTATTTTTGACTGAAATATTAGGTGAAAGGGATTCGAATCACACAGAAAGTATCAATGGCATCAAGATTGTAGGGAAGACTTGCTGATTATTGTTCATTTCAATGAAACTTTGATAAGAGCTCAATACAGATTACAACTAATTATTTAAATATGTGGAATGTGAGTAATAAATCAAACAATAATAGTAAAATGATGGATTGAACTAATTAGAAAAATTAGTTATGAAAGAAACGAAATGTGGTGTTAGGATAATACTATGGAATCTCATATATTGAGCGCTAAAGGTTAATGTGAAGATATTATGTTTGAATGGTAATAGAATCCAGAATGCGAGTTTCATCCGATTTGGAACTCATCCCAGATTTGATGTTCCGACTGGAACCCAAACCCAATATCATTCGCTCCAAACACCCAAACGTGTTATCCATTCAGTTATCGAGCTAAGATACTCATAGGCTTGATCAACCGGAATGAAAGTATCAGGAAGAGTTTGTCTTTGATTAAACTGCCAACCCTATATCAAATACACTAAAGCTTATAACATGACCCTATACCGAGGCAATCTCCGGATACATATATGACGACATAGGCTGTTTAGTTGCAGTATTGAATATCAATAATGAGAATCTACAAATACTGACTAATCGAGGGATAGTTAACGAATTATGAATCTTGTTGTTAAAAATACTAAAACTATAAATAACAGTAATAATCTCTACTACAAATAATGATTACAGAATGTACATCAACTTCCAGGCATTATATGTCAGATACAAATCACTGAATGGTTACCCTTTAAGGAAATGCAAAGTGAATCATGTGATCATTTAGTTTCCGAATTTCATATCCAAAGTACATAATGTCGGAAACTTGATTTTCCTGACTCCATATAATACCAAAAGACTGACAGATATTTGTCTAATCCTTCTTTTGTAAGCCATGGCGTGGATGAGATATACACCAACAACCAAAAGACCGGTATATACTACAAAACAGTATGTTCTGTTTAGCTTTGTGATTACAAAACGTGATCTTTAAAAATAGAGAATATATGTAAGATACTAGTATTTGTCCACAGATACCTTCAAAGTAGTGTTCGTGTATGTTTAGACCACTGAATGACCAATGCCGGTGTCATATCCACGGTTCTATGTAAGGTTGACAAATTGGTTAATGAGATAACGAATCTTCACAAACTGAGGCGGTTAGAACATGTGATATGCATGCCCAACTATCACCTACCTCGACGAGCTACGTTTAATATTGAAGAACTAGGTTAGAAGAAAACCAGGGGCACTCAAAACAAGATGTGTGATCTGTTTATGACAATTGGCCTGAACCATGTTGATAGGTTTAAACTATCTGGTTGAATTTTAAGCAATAATTACGACTAGTTACTCGAACATTAGGGTGATATGACTGAAAACCAGTAGCAATAAAATAAAACGTTTTTATATTTATCCTGGGTTTAAAACTTATCTTTTATTTTTCAATCTACCAATGAATTTCATCTCAAATCATGTTGTCTGTACCTGGTAATGATACATTTACTACTAATATCTTTATGAATTCGTCTTGTTAATCTCTGTTCACAGTGTTGATAATACTTTGAAACTTGAACTAAAGCCAATATATCTCAGGTTTCATGTGGTAAAAGGTTAACTGAATGACTGCATGAATTTAGTAAGGTGATGTAGTTAGGTGAAAGCGCGGATCAGCAAAGCAAGAACAGTATATCTACAAATGAAGGACATCTCTAACTCAAAGCAACTGTCGGCCAAAACCAAAGTCAGATTTTTCAATACAAATGTCAAGACAGTTCTACTGTATGTGGCGGAAACTTGGAGAACTACGAAAACCATCATCCACAAGACACAAGTTTTTAAATAACAATTGTCTACGCAAAATACTTTGAATCCATTGGCCGGACACTATTAGTAACAATTCATTGTAGGCGAGAACAAACCAGATCCCAGTGGAGGAAGAAATCAGAAAGATCTGGAAATGGATAGGACATACATTGAGGAAAGCACCAAAATGCGTCACAGTACAAGCCTTCACTTAGAATCCTCAAGGCAAAGGATGAGAGGAAGATCAAAGAACACATTACGCCGAGAAATGGAGACAGATATGAGAAGAATGAACAACAATTGAATAGAACTAGAAAGGAAGGTCCAGGACAGGGTGGGTTTGATAATGCTGCTTGGCGGCTTATGCTCCATTAGGGGGTAACAGGCGTAATTAATGAGTATGTAATTAGGTATGAAAACATAGAGCCCATGACCTTTCATCGTATTTTCTTTATTTACTTTTTGAATTTTTAAATTTCCATTAACTTAATACATTAAGTTGTAAGTAAAAATCAAAATCTCTCTGATTTTCACTCGTTTCAGTTTAGGAATATAGAATCTAATGAATTCATTGAATCATTGAATATTACTAAAATAAATGGAACAAATTTTAATCCCAACTTAAATTCTTATCTAAAAGATGAAGATCTCATGAATACATCCTATGAATTTTCTAGACAAACATCAAATGATTTAAGAACAATACAAATGATTAAAACAATAAAACATATTGAATCATTTCGAACGGAGATTAATAATTAGGCTAAATATCTTTTACATAAATAAAATCAGCGAACTATTCATAAACATTGATCAATTGAACTGGGTTTTTTCCATTGTTCAATTATTCCTTTTCATTTAAAAGAACAAATGGAATTTGTCAATTTTCATTATTCATTATTGACAGTTAAACAAAATGACTTTTTTGTGTGCGGGCGCGCGAGTATGCCTGCGTACGTATGTGTGTATGTGTGTGTGCGGGTAACTTTTACATATAATTTAAAATGAGAACAATAATTAAAGCTTTACAATCGTTATTGTTTTCACAATAAAGAGAAATTTAGCTCTTAACAATAGGACCATGTTAGATCGTTTGATTTCTTTAGCTTGTGGTAGTGTCGAGTCGCAGTTGACTATGGTCACTACTACAGATCGATTACGTGCCAATTACCAGGTTAAATCCTTCCGTAGGATAATTACTAAAAAGGAAGTTGTAGATTGCGGTTAAGATATATTTGTTGGTGATCTTGTGGTTTTGAGGCAATACCGAGATCGTGTCAAAGTTTACAGGCGAGACTATCGTGCATACGTAAGTTCAAGGTCACAAACAACGGAAAAGTGTGTTTTTGGTACGTTAAAATGATACAGTAAAGCAATCACTGGTACATTTGGTTATAATATTAAATGTCACCATTACACCAATTGACTTCTTTTCATAAAAGTAGATCACTACAAGCTAAATAATTTTGTACAGGTAGACGTTCATTCATTCTTCACATTGTAGCGTGGTGTCGAGTTGAGCTTGACAATGAACACCGCTACAAGACCACGTGCTAATTAACCAATAAGATCCCCGTAGGCCAATATCAGAAGACAGATGATGGCTGTAGTCGAGATGTATTTGTTGGCGATCTCGTGGTATCGAAAGAATACCGAGATCGTGCCAAAGGAGTACAAGCGTGGTTACTGAGCGTAACCGAATTCGTACAAGTTCAAAGTCAACGGGAGAGTAAGTAAGTATAATGGCTGTCATTAGCATAGTTAAACAAACGAGCACAGTAAAACAGTCACTGGTACAATTGGTTATAATAATAATTGTTTTCATTGAACCAATTGCTTTCTGTTGACAGAAGTAGGTCACTATAGGAGCCCCCCGCTAGCAAGGGTTTACACTTTCGATAGGTAGCGGTTTGATTCGTGGGACTGATCGGCAAAAGTGCGGTTGTAGGATGGAAGAATTGGCGGAACAGGAAGTGATCATTGATCCACGAGTTGCCAATGAAAGTCTTTTGCGAAGAACGGTACCAGGAGAAGTGTGCTGTATTTGTTGCTCGAGTTAGCATATGAAACCAGAGCGGTTTGTACCAAGGATCTGAAGATTGCGTTCGTAGGGATGCGGACCAGAAAAACGCCGCAGACGTAGGACGAAACCACGTTGAGCCAAGAAACCGGAAGCGACCATAACGACCAAGCGTATGCCAGGAGAATTCGAGACCAGATAATCGACTGAGTGCGTTGACTAGAGCGTGGGTGATCAGGTCAGCTTTCGCCAAGGTTGACTGAAGTCGACGTTACCAAACAGGAGATGGTCGGAAGCGTGGGCCCGGGATACAAAAAAAATCAAAAAAAGAAAAGTGTAGCATGCGTGTAGTATAGGAATTGTCCTACACCGTTTCCAATGTTGACTGTGCGGTTAGTCGCGAAAGCGTACGGGTAATCGTACTCGGCGACCGGAACGTGAGACGGTAGTCTCGTTCGTACTTTGTGAGCCTGCGATCTCATCCGAGGTCAAGGGCGGCGTGGTATGACGATCTGGACGTGAGACGGAAGTCTCGTCCGTAGATGGTGCAGATGACGCGTGCTGTTGACCGGGACGTGAGAACGAGGTCTCTGATGTATCTAGCGTGGAATCCGAGGTAGACGTAGAGATCCCGCCAGAAGGTTTGATAAGTCTAGCATTGAGTCTCAAGTTATCGGGTAGGGCACTATCATCGATGTGTACTGGTTTGAGACGATCAATGCTGACGATCTCGACGTCGCCATGTCGATCAACCTTGAAGGTCTTTTCGTGACGAGAGATCACGTGAAAAGGTCCTTCGTAAGGCTGTTGCAAAGGTTTGCGTACCGAATCTACTCGTATGAAAACATGTGAACAGGTAGATAACTCTCGAGGGAGAGCGACCTGTCGATGTTGTATTCGAGTTGACACCGAAGACAGCGTTCGCATAAATGCAGACAGTCGATGGACGTAGTCTGATTTACCGAAATCATTACTGCTCCGTGGTGTGAAGAATTCCCCAGGCAGACGCAATGTCGTGCCGTATACAAGTTCAGAGGCGGAACATTGAATATCTGCCTTCAAACTCGTTCTGATGCCTAAGAGAACGAGCGGTAAGGTTTCGTACCAATTATCGTCTTCGTGTGCTTGGAGAGCACTTTTAAGTTGGTGATGAAACCGTTCGACTAAACCATTCGATGCTGGATGGTAGGCGGTAGTGCGTATGCGTTCCGTACCAAGCAGCCTGGTCAGTGAGGAGAATAATGCGGACTCAAATTGTTGTCCTCGGTCAGTCGTGACAGTCGAGGGACAACCGTACAATGCTATCCATCGTTCTACGAAGCGGTGAGCAACTGTCTCCGCCGTGATAGACGTGATGGGAATAGCTTCGGGCCATCTTGTAAAACGGTCAATGCACGTGAGTATGTGATCATACCCATGCGATGGTGACAATGGTCCTACAATGTCTATATGAACGTGATCAAAGCGAGCATCAGGCGTAGCGAACGTGCCAATGGGGGCAGCTACGTGCCTGTGCACTTTTGATCGTTGACACTGTAAGCATTGCTTTACCCACATACGAACGTCTTTATTCATGGACGGCCAGACGTATCGTGCAGCGATGAGACGTAATGTGGCTGCCATACCTGGATGAGACAATCCATGTAGGGCATCGAAGACGAGACGGCGATAGGCAGAGGGTACGATGGGTCGAGGAAGACCGGTAGAAATATCACATAGGATAGTACCTGAGCTAGTAGCTAGGGGTACTTTCTGACACTGAAGGGACGAAGATTGTGGTGCTTCTGTACAGACGGGATCATTTGCTTGCGCGGCGGCCATAGCAGGAAGATCGAGCACCGGTAAGGTAACTGCATTCGTCTGGATACGTGAAAGAGCATCGGCAACATAGTTCGACTCGCCTTTAATGTGACGAAGGTCTGTCGTAAACTGTGAGATATAGTCCAAATGTCTGCACTCTCGTGGTGAGCAGCAGTCAGACTTGGTATGCAGGGCATACGTTAAGTGTTTATGGTCGGTGAATAAGATGAATTGGCGTCCTACTACGTGCCGGAAATGTTTGATGGCACAGTAGGCTGCAAGCGGTTCGAGACTAAAAGCGCTATATCTCGTCTCCGTGGAAGTAAGGCGCCGTGAGAAAAATTCAAGTGGTTGCCAACTACGGAGATATTTTGTTGCATAACGGCTCCTATAGCGAAATCTGATGCATCAACCGCTATACTAAGCGTGGCTGATGGGTCAGAATGAGCGAGAAGTGTAACTTCAGCGAGAGCCATTTTGATCTCTAAGAATGCAGTACGCGCGGTATCGTTCAATTCTAATTTGCGTGGATTACCGCGTAGTAAATCGGTTAATGGTCGTAACCGTTCTGCCGCGTGAGGGATGAAACGTCGGTAGAAGTTAACCAAACCGAGAAAAGCCTTCAGTTCCTTGATTGAGGACGGCACGTTGTACTCCTTGACTGCTCAAACTTTGTCCTCGCAAGGCAGAATACCCTCTTGTCTGATGATGTGACCCAGAAATATTATTTCTGATTTACCCAATTCACATTTCTCTGGGTTGACTACTATTCCATTATCCGAAAGACATTGGAATAATAGCGTAAGATGTTGATAATGTTCATCTACGTTTGATGATACGATCAGCAGGTCATCAATATAGACGTGAACAAAATCCACGTCTCGTACTATGCTATCGATAAACTTTTGGAAAGTTTGAGCAGCATTCCGTAATCCAAATGGCATTCGTAGGAACTCAAACAGACCGAAAGGAGTCGTGATAGCAGTTTTTTTGATGTCTTCAAGAGCGACTGGGATCTGGTGATATGCTCGTACCAGATCAATCTTAGAAAAAATTGTCGTGCTCTTGAGTGATGCCGCGATGTCGTGTATGTGCGTGGTGGGGTAGCTATCAAAGCGCGTAACTACGTTTAATGCTCGGTAGTCACCGCATGGTCTCCAACTAACCCCATCCTTTTTGCGCACCATATGAAGAGGAGAGGCCCAAGGACTGTGAGAAGGACGAATAATACCAGTAGATAGTCAATTGTCAAACTCACGTTTAGCGAAGGCTAATTAGTCCGGTGCCAGTGGGCGTGGTCTTGCCGTGACTGGTTGTCCGCAGGTGACTATGTGGTGTACCACACGATTGGTCACCGATGAAATCTCCTCGAGTGGTTTAGTTATTCTGGGGAATTTCTCGAATAAAGCGTGGAATTTATCGTCACGCGAATTAAAAGTGTCGAGGATTCGGTACGCGTACATCGGAGTCTATTATATTAATACTATTCTTACCGTTATCCGTCATGTCGAGTATATTATATATTAAAAATTAATATGAAAATATACGACAGACGTGGATAGATAAACAATAGACTCACCGAATTGCCTTCTTTGAAAGATTTGACCGAGGTTGTGACGTGTTCCCAGATTTGGCTCACCAATTGTAGCGTGGTGTCGAGTTGAGCTTGACAATGAACACCGCTACAAGACTACGTGCTAATTAACCAATAAGATCCCCGTAGGCCAATATCAGAAGACAGATGATGGCTGTAGTCGAGATGTATTTGTTGGCGATCTCGTGGTATCGAAAGAATACCGAGATCGTGCCAAAGGAGTACAAGCGTGGTTACTGAGCGTAACCGAATTCTTACAAGTTCAAAGTCAACGGGAGAGTAAGTAAGTATAATGGCTGTCATTAGCATAGTTAAACAAACGAGCACAGTAAAACAGTCACTGGTACAATTGGTTATAATAATAATTGTTTTCATTGAACCAATTGCGTTCTGTTGACAGAAGTAGGTCACTACAACATATTCCTAGCTTCTTTGAACAGTGAATATCAACGGTATATAAAGCCTTAAATTGTTCATTTCTACTATGAACGTGTCATCAAACATTAAAACCATAAGTGTAGATTTATTTTAATGGACAATTAAACTGAGAGTTTTTATTTAAAAGAAAAACCTTTATTGGATTTTCAAAGTAAATCAATAATACCTCAACAGTTTTCATCTAAACCTGACAATTATTCCAGCACCTGTCAGCATGACTGT